CGGTCATTTGGGGGGACCATTGATTAGGTGCTTTCAGCTCGGCCGACACGAATCGACTGAAAATTGAATGGGAAAATTGAAAAGCCGTTGCCTGGCGGTATTCTCGGGGAGCCGATGCCATAAAAGAGAGCTCTGCTGAGAGCAGAGAAACTCCATGTCCCAGACAGATGGAAGAGGCGGAAAAATCTCACCCGCATTTTCACTGAATGTGCCTGCCGGAAAGACTTCTCCTTTGCCAGACAGAGATGATATGGCAGAATATTTTCTCCTCAATGGACGAGCTTTCAGCTCTGGCTGCTGGCTCTCTCCCTGAGCTTTCACATGCTCTCAAAAGAGAGGGGTAAGCGTGGAGCCCAGTTCATCATCCATCCAGAATAGAATGAATCACTTCCCCGTCACTCAGTGAAGCTCACCCAATTCACATCTGTGAGCATCATGGGAAATTTCTCAGAGAGACAAGAGAGCGAGAGAGAGAGAGAGAGAAAAGAAGTGAGCGAAAAGCTCCCAGAGTGAAAGACCCTCGACGAAGGGGAAAGTGTTTTCCTTCGGCAATTCCATCACTGCGACGAGACCGAAAAAGTGTAATAACAAGGCAAACATGTAAAAGGAGAGAATATGAGAAAGTCGAGAATTTGTGTGAGAAAAGGAGAAAATCCATTTTCAATTCCCACGTTAAGTATTCACACACTGCTAACTTTCCCATGCAAAAGCACACAAAGCAGCTTAATTAAAATTAATTCGTATCAGCAAGATTTTCCCATTTCAATACTCGAGAAAATCTCTCAGGGGTAAATATTACATGGAAAAATTGACGAATTGTGTTCTGTCTACCCCCAACATTTTCACTGTAGAACGCGGTAACGTGAAAATCACAAAGGGGTGGTAATTGAAAATGTCCAGGACAGAAAAGTCATGTTGTGCCCAGTATAATGACAGCAATTGAACATTAACAGTGTAATTTTCATGATTTTATTTTGGAATACATTTAATCAAGCACATATGTATGTAGACCACTCCATCGGCATGCAATTTGGGGTTTTCCACTGAACTCACAAAGAGAATGGAAGGCACATAAAACTCATTCGAAGCTTTACCAAATGTATTATTTTCGAGGGAAGTGCACAACGAGGGGTGATTAATTCCTGAAACTCTCAACACGATGCACGGGAAAAGTTTATTCATTTTCCCAGACACTGTGTGTCCAAGTTGTGAAGATTTGTACGCCCCAGAATCCGCAAAATAAAGAAGAGAGAAGGGCATTTCCCAGCAGCAAAATGGTTCTTGCAAACACGAGGATTAGAGGCAAATCCGCCCAACAAGCATCATCCCAACGCTATAGAGAGTCATTTGGCTCGATTGTTGTGTAAAAACATACATTAATCCATTCTCTCAACTTTATAAGCATAGCAAATTGCACCATCGCACGAAAAGTTCACTCAGGCAGAGACACCTTGAATAACTTCCTTATAATGTAGAAGCGTGATTATCACACTGCTTTGACTCTTGTTTGCCAATTTTTCGCCATCCTTCAGCAGCGCCAAGAAATTTAATCGCCGTTTAATCATAATTACTCAATTAACTCAAATATTGAGCGTCCTCATTTTTCGCAAAAATTAAGGGCATATTGCCAGTAGAATGCTAAAAGGTCTCCTTGGGATAATAAATCTTGAGATTACGCGGTAATGAAGTCCCGCTGGAGCTTCACAGTGGATTATTTGATTTAGAAAATTTCGCGTTACATCGAATTCTGCGAAATTCCATTCAACATCCAATGCGATATTTCCTCACTCAATTGCTATATAGAATGTTGAATTCCCCTGCGTACCTTTATTGGAAAGTGTCGCCAGGATTTCATTCACATTCAATTCAAACATATCGATGGTCTCAGAATGTGCAGAAAATCGATAGAAATACCCAAGACTTCTGGGAAAGATTGGTATGAATAAATACTTAGAACTTATTTTTTAAATATTAATTCGATAAAATTCGCATTTATTCAGCATCACAGCAGGGATGGAAAATTGAAGACTTTTCACAGTCAAAACTCACTGGACGAATTGATGTGTAAAAAGAGACATTTGCCCGGAAAATATTGTATCATTTCCGATGCGAAACACAATTTTTCTTCGACACTCACCACAATAGTGGATGAATGATGCCGTTCACGGGATGAATACACAAAATAACTCAGCCTCGTTTTTGCCCAGTCGCAAGGGAGAAAAAGTGTGGCTGAGGGAAGAAAAAGAGCGCAGATAATGGGTTACATTTGCGCTGGAGGAGTCTATCCGGCAAAAATTGTCGCTCATCCCGAGGACAAGAGCAGAGAAAGCACCATCCAATTCCTATTCTAAATCCATCACGACCAGGAAAAAAGGTACGCACGAGGGAGTGATAATGGCGTGTGTAAAATTACAAAATAATATACATAGAACAGTGTCAGACGCACTCATGCTGCATACGAATATAACAAAAAAAATTCTGCCTCGGCTTGTGCTTTTGGCGTAGCTTATTTTTTTTCCACTCTGACATACTCTTCATTCCATATGCAGAGAAGGGTAACTGATGGATGCAATTTTTGCAGTAATTGCATTAAGAGGAGAATTTTGCCACGAATGAGGAAAATTCGTTGCAATATGTCAATCACAATCTAGATAGATTTAGGAACGGCAAAAAGCTTTCAGACTGATATTTCGTAATATCTGCATGTCATTTTTTTGCATCCAGATACACAAAGCATACAAAATGTCGGGAAAATATATGTGAAATTACAAAAAATTATACCACTCAGTGGCATTGATTAAAAAAAATCCCTGCTGTGTAATATTGATAAAACATGAAAATATGAGAGACTCTTTCTCAATTGTCCAAAAAAGCAGTGGCGAATATTTATTTTAAATACGATAAACTTTCCAGATCGATTTGCATTAGACATTCCTCAAAGTCCTTTTTTTCTACCATGTCTATGCTGAAAATATGAAACATTCTGCGCGAATCTCGACATTTTTGCTGCCTCTCCAGTTGTACTTTTTATCGATAGATATTCAACCTTCTCTAGTCGTCTGTCGACCCACGAAATAAATGTGATTTCGCGGAGAGTGAGAGTGGTATACGGAATAAAGTGAAAATACGATAAAGAGTGGAACTGCCACGTTTTTTTGGCATCGCAACCCTCCCCCCGAAAGAAATGTGTTTTTGGAGTCAGGAGCTTCCAATTTCATATGAAATGGTGGAAGCTGGCGAGATACGGAGTGTGTATATCGCATTTCTGAGAAGAAGAAAAAAGCGTTCTCGCAGCTTTTCCCAGCCAGACATACCCTTCCAGTGCGTGTCCAAGAAGACTCAAGTGGGTATCAGGCAGAGTGACTGAACAGCCCAACCAACAATTGGCGGTGAATCTCCGACGAGTTCAAGAGAGGCGAAAAAAGGTTAAATAAATTTTCTGCCTTATTTTCTGTCAGATTGTGAGAATGGGAATTGCGGGGGTGGGTCCAGAGCCATGGAGAGATAGTGAGGAAAAGCACCCAATTCATATACACAGCACACAAATTTGTTTTATCCGCTTTTATCACCATTTGAACCCACCCACTCGTGACTTTTTTCCCCACCCTCGCCCTCTCTTCGCTTTCAGGGGGCATTTCACACCCCCACCCACTTCTCCACCCACCCCTCGTTACATTTACGCAAAATGTGTGCCCGTGTGATTTACAAGCTCACCATTTCCCAAAAAGATTTATGCATTAGTTTGCACATTTGTACATCCATGTCAGCGCCTGTTATGCCATTTAGAGTCGTAACTCCGCGTGGCGAGAGATATGGAATATTTCCGGATATTTATTATGGGTACTTCAGGGTAATTTTACAGTGTTTGTGAAGTCCTTGCCTGAATGTGAAACATATGAGAATTATGGCTTACAATTGTGTGGTGACAATTGTCAGAAGATGTACAAAGAATCACACACTCTTCTGATAGTTTTTTTGTCAGTAAATTATACACAAAACTCTATGCAATATCGCTGCAATATTTAGAGAAAAATACCCTGAAAATAGTAAAACAACTCCCTGTCGGCTAGTGAGGTAGGTGAGAGCATATTTTCTCAGTCAGAAAGTGGTTTAAAATTAAAATAACACTCAGACGACCAGGCGTCCCCATCTCCACCTGGTGTCTCCGCCACCAAGTGTGCTTTCTGGTACAAAATTAATTCCGAATCGCTGTGTACAACATTTTAATTTGGCGACATGATATCCCCCCTCACCACCCGCAGCTTGATTGCCAGAGGCTCGATGTGTCTCCCCTCATTAATTATAAATTCATAATTACCCCCCAGACCGTGCGAGACAGAGAAATGCAATTATAGTACCGTCTTGCCAGTGTCGTTATTTTTCTTCATGCGACAATTACATCGCTTGATAGACGATAAAGTTAAATAGGAGGAGAGCACAATTTGCAATGTTCCACTTCTTGTATTTGTCATAGAACATTTTGTGGTGGGTAAAGTTACGTAGAAGCAAATTTTGGGTACCCAAACTTATCCACTGTGCAGACACACTTGAGATCAAACTTTTGCTCTGGGATCTCAGATTGTCTCACTTTTGCCCATTTCAGTGCAATTACCACTGAAACTATGTTTATAATATTCACTTGAAAGCGGGAAAATTGTCAAGAGATAAGCAGTGTGAGGGAAACCAATAGTGATTTTCATCGAATAGAGTGGAAAATGTGAAAAAAAAAATTATCATGGGAGACAAGCACCTGATGTTGCGGCGATAGTGAATATTTCTCACTCAGTATCTCTCAGACATGGTGATAAATATGGTGTCGAGGGAGAAAAGCTCTCGCACTTTCGTGTGAGAATAGAAAGGGTGGCGTAGAATAAGCATGAACGTGTGTGTGTGTGAGCAATAAAAGTCATATAATGGGTGGAGGGCTTTTGTGTATGGGGAAAAACAATAAAAATTGACAATAAGAGGAGACGAAATAGAGGGTGGCAGAAACTACTCACCTGCTTGAAGAAATGGAAGCATGCCCAGGAAGAGAAGAAACGGCAGAAGCGTCCGAAATAGTTTTCCAAATTCCCCAGAACGCCTCGGCAGCCCTTCGCCATCCGACGCAGATCGATTTGCCTTCGTTGATGTGTCTGACTGGAGGCGATGAATGTGGCTGGGAAGCAAGGCAGAGGGATGTAACCTTGGCAGAAGGGTCTGGTCGCACTCTTCATGCCGGAAAATCTCATAATGGCAATTAGTAGAATTAATGGATTGGCAGCGATGCTTTGCACGAGCTTTTTGGCAGCATTTTCCACCGTCGGTACACCCATCGATTGGGGCTGGGGTGGCACCCATTGGCTCACTTTTTCTCCATTGGCAGCTTTTGCTATGTTTCGACTTGTCTCCTCCTGAGCTGGTGGCCCAGCCGCGCCACTCCACGGCCACCCGTCCAGCGCCCACCGCCTCACATCTGCCATTGTCCACGATGACTGGCGCGACAATGAGGCCTTTCCATCGGTGCCTCTGAAACCATTGTTGACTGTACGAATGGCACTCCGTGTGCCACTCTCCGCCCGCCCACGACCACCCCCGGCGATCTGGGCAACTGTTGAGGCCACAGCACTCACAACTACACTGGAACTCGCATGCCCTCTGGTCGTAAATTGATACTTCTGAGGCCATGCTGTGCCCTGCAAGACAAAAGTGCACTGATTAGCTACGAGTCAGAGCCATTGAAAGAGTCATTTCAAGAGGTGGCACACTATGGACCTCTATTTCCTGCCCAACACCATCAGTGAAGTCGACAAAAGATCTTGTCCTATCGATTGAGCTGGTAATTCACTGTGTACAACGAATTTTGTACTAAATGTGGCTATTTCTGGCATTGCAATTTTAGTCTACTCGTATAAATCTACTGCCAGCCTCTAAACTTAATGATCTTAATGACCTCGCTCTGCTCAACAATAATTATAATTACTTTGGGTGATTTCAACGTTCATCTACTCAGCAATTTCAATATAATTACTCCGTTTTTATCTTATTCTAATTCTAATCTTCACATTCTTTCGTTGTGGAGATAAAATTACAAAGCTGCATTATTTTAATTAACATTTAGTGCTAAAAGACTTAACCCAGTCTGTAACTGTCCTCAGTCTGAAGGATTATATGTTACAGGTGGTTTCACTCATTCTTGAAGTATAATGAATTACTAGTTAATTATTTGTAAGTTTACTTAATAAGGCTCCATCCGGAGATTACCGCCCAGTCTGTATTAATTGTAAACCAGAATTCAATGAAAGAAATAATTGAATTTCCGCAACTTTTTCTTTTCCCTTGGTATTCAAATAACTATGCCTGTGAGGCTCAGTGACAGTGTCAACTTTGAAGTCATAGCTAAAAGTCCGCCATCAGTGACATCACGAGCTTTCGCAATCAGAACTGTGGCTGACAAATCGACTGGGTGGGGCACTCACGTGCTCGCACAATTCCTCTTCGTGTCCGTCCCTGAACTCTCTAGCCATCCGCACACACCCTTACCGCTGAGGTGACGTCAGACACGATAGAAATTCACCCCAGTGACGTCACTGCGCCTGAGATCCGGTGAAAGCTCTGCGGAGCTTTCACCACTCTCTTAGCGACTCGCGGAACTCAAGACAACGCTTCCTTGGGGGAGGATTCGGCAACTTGAGAACACCCCACCTGAAAGCTCTCGAAGAGGGCACTCGAGTCGCCGAAGGGGACACTTCCAGTGGAAGTGGACTCATCAGAACTCTCTCTTTCCGTCACACACACACACACACACTGATGGTCAGGAAAGTGTGACCCTCAGCAGGGAGCAAAGCGGTGGCCGTTCCCTATCGGTGGTGATTCCAGGAAACAATAGTCGATGTCACCACCATAACTGAAAGTATATAGAGATGGTGGTGGGTTATCTCGATGCATTAAAATGGCATTAGAGGTATGTTAAGTCCCCGAGGCGTCACCGCCCAGCCACCCTCTCGGCACCACAGGCTGCGGCAGAGTGTGGCGTGTACATACAGAGTGCCAAAGAGATAGGATATCAGACTAAATGTTACATTCGTGGTGTGAGAATGGATGTGAAAGAGAGCAAGAGAGAGAGGAGCGAATGTATAATTTAAGGGCGTTGTCATCGTTATTCGAATTATGGCAATTTTTGCCGCCACCACAGCCATCCCACCCCCGACGGCGACACCCCCATCATCTTTCCACGTTAATGAAAATCGATCCAATTTTATGGAGTGACTGCTGGAACGATTTACAGGCTTTCCACTCACGCTGTGCATGAAATGTGACAATGAATCCAGCACGAGAGGATGACGGTGGGAAATTTTCGTTAATCGACTGAAATCATCATCTTGTGGCACTTTCAATTCACTATCTTCTTCTCAGCTTCCCGCTTCCTTCCTTCCTCTCCTCAGACTTTGCACTCCTGCAACTCACTCGCCAACGCAGCAAGAAAGCTCCTCCGTCACTCCCGGCGGGAGGAGGGGGAGGTGTAAGTCTGAGGAAAAGATGGAGAGAAAAACTTTCATCTACCCTTCAATATTGACAAATCCCCAGCTCCAACATCAAACAAATGTTATTTTCACTTAATTGCTTTTCACCATCATATACTGGGCTGTCGTCACATGCTATGTATGTACATCTGTCCATTGGATTTCACTTGTGAATTCCGTCAACTATATGTATTTCTCCTTGATGCGATGACCAAAAACTCCCAGACATTCCCACTGAAGCGATGCTGAGAATGACAAACGATTCACCATTTCTCATTCCCCGCTCTCCGGTGTGTGGAAATTCCATTTTCATTCAACATTCATATGCAAAAAGCTCGGTATTTCAATTGTGAATTTTATGCATTAACTCGCAGGCGGAGAAATATCAATAAAATCCAAAGTGCTGCACGTGATCTTCAACAAAACAGTCCCGAGCGTCAAATCCTCTTTTGAAGAGACAAAATCACCATTTAATTAAGAATTGAAATCAAATTTGTTGCCACTCCGGAGACGGAAGCTCTAAAACCTTTTTCCATGAGCTTGTCGTTAACTTGAAAGGCCTGTCATCGTGTTCTATACTCCCTTTTTATGGATACGGGCCTGTTTCACTGCGCACCCAGCTTTATGTGAGGGTTTGATTTTGACAACTTTCCCAACACATTTTCGATTCTCTCCTCTTGCATTCCAAGTCGCAATGATTGAGCGGAGCTTTATTGTGCCCCACAAACACTGACGAATTTATTGTCCAGTAAAATTTCCCTCTATCCGTCTTCTTTTTCCACTGCGGAACAGATGATACATCACGATAGAGGTTTCTTGGCCATGGTGTTAATTGTCACTCTATAAAATGCCAATTTTCCCCAATGAGATGAAAAGAGCACCAGCTCAATATTTAACGAGACACATTCTTTCCGGTTAATAGAGAAACATGGATGAATGTCGTAAAAGATTTCAAACTTTTATGACATTTCTCATTTCAAAAGACCCTTTTAATTTTTAATTTCCCATCTTTAGATTCCAATTAGCGCGGTTGTTCAGGGCGGAACTCAATGAAGCAATGCGAATTATTATATTCAGTGTATTCAAGTCTCTTTGGCAGCACAAAAACTCCTTTGTCTGTGTCATTTTCATGGATTTTTCACTGAAGAGAACTTGGATTTCTAGGATCTAAAAGTCAGTGACTATCAAATTATTATTTACAGAAGATTTTGGCTTTTATAGCTCGATAGAAAAAGTGAATACAGCGCAATTTCAGATTTCGCTCCATAATTGATCACTGCAGATTGAGGAGGAGCTCCCTTTGTCAGCGCTTAAGTAAACATTGAGAGAGTGGAGCAAATTCAATGGGAGACGCGCTTTATCTCCTCGCGCACTTGAGTGCAAATAATTCATTAGCAGCAATTTAATGTGACTCCGTTGAGTTGGCAAAACACGCGGAAAATTCAGCATTTTCGTGATTTTTTTTTCACCTCAATTGCTCGCACCAATAAATCAGCATCGCAATTGATCTCGTGAATCGAATTTTATTTCACTCCCGAGGGGCGCTTTCTCCTCCGTCTTACAACACTTTGATGGTACTTTAGGCACCTTATTTGGCACAAGTACTCGCCGCCATTGTTATCCAGAGAGTCTTAGGTGCCATAAAACGTCCTAAAATATCCCTTCCCCATCAGTGCAAAAAGGTACGTAAACTTTAAACGCCTATAAAGAATTATGTTGCTGTAATCTTCGATAAATTATTCTTTGGGGTCATTTCTATCACCTTCTCTCCCTCTCACTTGCCATGAGATGGTTGTTATGTTGAGCAGGTACTTTACATCGATGGGAGTTTTGTCACTGGGAAAATCCTGCCATAGGGTTTTCTCGTGTTATCTACAAATTCTCTGTGCCTCTTCTGCTCCTCTGTTCTGCCTGGTGGATGATTTAAATTAAAAATTCCACTCACCATATCGTCTGTTTCGGATCGCTGAGTGCAACGACTGGAAAACGTCTAAGCAGGATATCTGCAATTGGAGAGAGAGAGAGAAAAGAGAGAGAGTGTGAGTAGGGAAAAGCGATTAGAGGGAATTGTACATTTTCCCTCATTTCTAATCTGGTTTTCTGGGGCGGAGCAAAAAAGACAAAAAGCGATTATCTGCTTCCGGGTTCGAAAGGGGCTCAAAGTAAGAAAACTCACTCGCACAAATTGACCACTTCAGCAAATCCTCATGATTGATGGTTCATTCGCATTGTGTCATCGTCATTTGGGGGTGGTTGGGCGAGCGGGGGACGCAAATAGCATCGAGGACATGTGGAAACGGATATAATCCCACTTGGCAGACAACAGGAAACACAAGCCCGAAAATATATACATGTACATTTCGCCACATTGAGGGTGGAGCTGAAGCCACCATTCAAAGTACACCCAAGCATGTACAGTCAATAAGAAGCGACAAGAGCGAGAGAAGCACGCACTTTGTCAGTCAGTTGGAGGAGAACCTTGAGGAGCTTTTCGGTGGAGTCATATTAATAAATGACACTTTAAACTTTATCTAGGGAAATTATTTCCAAAGACAAATATTCTCCGAGAATCCACAGGAACTTCGTCAATTAATTCTGTGATTTATGGGATGTTCTCACTCCTCACGCCACACCATCTCGGCTCCAATTCCTCCCGGGCCCACACCCATATCCCGTCTCCGTGCGCCAGCCGGAAAAACGATCCCCGCACAGGCTCACACTGACGCTCCATTCATTTGGATGCAACACAAGTGCATAATTGGGACAGAAAGGCAAGTTAGATTGACATGGGCGGGAGTTGTTGGCAAAAAGGCATCTCTGAAGAGCTTCCATCTGCTAAATTCGTCTCAATTAATTACAAGCGAGGGAGTTCATTGAAAGCACTCCGAGCTGCTGACAAATTGCTTTTTCACATCGTGCCAAGTGTGAAGCGCGTCCAAAAAAGACTCGCGGAAAATTGATTTTATGACAGCATCCACGGAGAGGAGAGTGTCTTTTGTCTCATGGCAGCCCACCGCGCGCCACAAGTATTAATCGGCTGTCGTTACAGCCAACTAAATACAGCAACAAACCACCCCGCCCACGAGAAACCACACACAAGAGTCACGACGACTGAACAACGTGGTTGTGGCTTTCTGCCACCCACCCATTGAAGAGAGGCGAAAGTGAAAATGATGAGCTCCGTATAGTTATCAATTTGCACGCTATTTTGCTGGCGATGGAGGGCGTGTGGGGAGCATTTTATAGCGCAAAACCACACACGAGGCAGCATCTTCCAAGAAAGTAATGTAGGTTAGAGGGCAAAGGGAGTCTGCACAGCCAGAGACTGTGGTGCCATTTTTGCTGGAGGTGAGATAGAGATAATTGCCAGCATGTTTAATACTGAGAAATGTCCCATGCTGCTGATGCCTTTCTCGGAATACTCAATGCAAATTGCACATCCCTAAATTACAGGAAAGAAATTCCTTTGTCCTATTAATTTTAAATTAAAACCGCGCACCTATTCATGATTCAATTGAATTGCAGATCATCCAGTGAGAGACAGCAAGGTTATTAACATAACTTCAATCAACTTTTTTCCCTCCAAAAGAAAACTGCTATCCACCCGTGGAAGGAGGAAAAGTCAAATTAGATGGAGGCGCCTGGTGGATACTCATAAAATTGATTTCCATTAATTGCAAGCGCCAATCAAGTCATTTAACAACTTGCTCAAGTTTTATGGTTCTTTGAGAACTCTCATGAAATGTTGCCGTGTCAAAAGATTTCCATCAACATCTTCCAGGCCAATTAACGCGTTATTGACTAAAAACTTGGGAGTAAGTTTGAGAAATGCATATAATGCTGGAGTGGCTTGAGCATAGAGTAAGCCAAAATGTTGCTTGACATAAAGGATTTGTTCTACACTAAATGAAATTCAACGTGGTGTCTATTAAACTACTTTTCTCTGATTCCTTGATGAATGTTGCTAGCACACGTGTTAATTAATTCCCCTCCACTTTTTCTCTCACCCTGTCACACTTTATCGTTTTCCTTGCTCAGTGATTCCTTTTCAATCTCCTCTCCACATCTGGCACCTAATTAAATACCTCACGCCAGGGGCGAAAGCTCCTCCAAGGGCGAAAGGCAAGAAAAAAAGTGCGAACAAGAGCGGAAGAAGTGGAAAGTGAAGAGGAGATATAAAGAGATGGACAAATTTTGATTGCTGTCACATCAATATGGAATATTATTGTGTGCGTGAGAATCTCTTGTATGGCGTAAGCAATAATAATGGAGAGGCTTTGTGTGAGAAATTTTCCTGTAATGCCATTTCATCTATTTTGGCGAACAAAGTTTCGTGGTAAGCAAGGCACCGAGCACGCTCTTGGCAATTTTCAAGCGAATATTTCTGCCATGGCATATAAAGACGCTCTCACATTCACCCAGAATACAAATCAGAATCTCTAAAGTCGAGTGAAAAGATGCCTCTCCGCAAGCCACCTACATTGTATTGAGTCCTTCTCGCCATTTCCCAATGGTCCCCAGCAAAATACAACACGCACGCGAGGGACTGAGTGGAGCAGATGGAAAAAATAGGGGATTTCCATGAATGGTGGTGAATCTTCATTTTGGAGTGTGAACTAAAAGTAGATAAATGGGTGAATTGGGAGATGGAGATTTCCACTGCTTTGGCAGTCTCTTCAGTCCCACCGATATATCTCAATGTGTAAACAAGTGGCAAATAAATTTATTATTGTAGCACTTTGGTCGATTTTTACGAAATTGTCTCTCTCTCTAGAATACATCCGAATAACCTTCCATCGCACGCACACACATTAGACGACCCCAGTGAACTAAATTGGATAATGCTTCTCTCATGGTAATTGAATCAATTTGCCAATTTACTAGTCGACGGTGTCTATAGCCAAATAAATTATTCATTTAGCCGGAGCTTTATATTCACCAACACCGAAAATTGCACTTGTGTCCCGCATGTAATTGGACGACTTGTGGGTGGCACGCCTGCCCCACCGGCTCTCTAGTGCTCCTCCGTGACGGAGAATTGTGTGTGAGCGAGCTGAGAAAAGGTTGGGGGCTGCTCACTCGACGATTTACTGACATCCAGTCGACCGCCTTACCCACTCCGCCACGGTTCACGACCAAATCCATACACATTGTGAACTGCAGACTAATGAAAATTCAATACAAGAAACCGCACATCAAGTCCGAGAGAAAAGAAACATATGTGTGGGGAAGAGAGGAAAATTGCAGCAACAGAAATTCCTTCAGGAATCTGTAGGTGCTGATACAATAGATGCCACACTAAGTTTCTCTCTCGTCTAAGTAAAGCACTTTAAGATAGTTTTAATATCATTCAGTGGAGGACTGCGAAAGAAATGAGTTTGCGGTGGAGTGCTTAGAAGTTTGTGTAAGAAGAATTTCAAAGATTTAATAGAAACTTGCAATAAGGAACACAAAATAGAAGTTAAAGACTTGCAAAATACAAACTACTATAGTTAAACACATTTTTTCTTTAAATGATTTAGTAAATAACTCATAAAATGTCTTCTATATCTTTTTCAATAAGTACAAAATCGGCGGGGAAACTTTTCCCCCCCAAAAAACTTTTGTCTATAAATTGGAGAAATAATATTTTGAAGAGCTGATATAATTTGTGTAAAAAGAGTTCGAGATAATGGAATTACATCAGAAGACAGACAAATTCATCTGGCCGTGGTTAAACTTATGGAGCCTTGGGTGGAATTCAATTGATGACAAATACAAAATTAAAGTCCTAACACACTTATAAGACTTTGGAGAAGATAAGCAATTTCAAGTCCGTAAGTAATAGGCCCCTTGAGAGAAATCCAAGCTCCAGATCCCATTACAGAACAGTGTGTTAAAGATTTGTGTGTCTAGATTGAAAATGGCACACAGAGTGTGGACAATGGTGGGTAAATTCCCATGGATGTGACGATGGACGGGAAAGAATTTCATGTGTGTAATTGAATTTATCACCCTCAAGTTTCACTCTACACATCCTGTGTCTCAATCCAATCACACCTTTTAACTTTTGATCGCAATAATTGACCCAGTGACCTAGAAATAGAACGCCCTCGTGGAGAGGTGAAATATTCCCTTCTGAATCTTCTCGCCCCATTGTTGGGCCGACACGGAGAAAAAGGCTCCCCCAGAGCACCGAATAGATAAAAGTGTTGGCAGCTCCGGTGACGAGGGATTGAGGCTGAGGCAGAATGGGCGGAATAATCATTAATTCAACTGTTATGTGTCTCGTGAAGGTGCATGAGCTCAAGAGTGGAGAGCATTTTAAGTTGCAACATGGAGACACCGTCGATATATAAAATGCCAGCCAAGTGGGTGGAGAGGGTATATCGCATGAGGGTGAAATTATATAACGTGAAAATCCATCGTGTCTTTTCCACCCCATTTGGGTGGTTGCCACATCATCTGTTAAATACACATACACGCAGCCAATGGAGCAACATCACAGAGAATGTGTCGCATTGACAAAGTTTTACATCGAAATTCCTTCCTTCGACGCTCTATTTCACTCTCGGTGTTTAACACACAACTCAAAATACCCAAACCTCGACGGCGAAAATGTACCCTCAAACCCCTGGCTATACATAGTTTCGACCGAGGCAAAAGTTTTACAATAGTCTCACACGATAACTTTAATAAAGTTAATTATGGGATAAACACAAGAACAATTGTATAAACTCATAGAATACAATTTCAACAGAATTCTGCATTAGAAACACGATATTATCTCATTGCAAAGGCAACTTTCCTTCATTTCCTCAACCACCACACCATACGTTCAGCACTTTCTCGTCTCCCATGCGGGACGGGGGGTGTAAGACACGATTTATCCTGGGCTTCTTGCACTGCATAGCAAGTTGAAATTCTTGCCGCACTTCAATAAATTTTTCCCAACTCTCACACGCTCTCAAGTTGCCATTATTCGAGACAAAGTTTGATGGTAAATTCCTGGATTTTATGGCACTGAAAGGGAAATTGAACCTAATGGATTGGCATAGGAGGAAAAAGAAATGTTGGAAAATCTCCGTCTTGTCTCTATTTTTAAGTATATCAAGTATTTGATTCGTGGAAATCATGTGAGAAGCTTCGTCTTACCAAAAAAGAGAATATTGACAAATTGACCTTTTATGTTCTTATTACGCGAAAAGGGTTAAATCAAAAAGGGAAACTTGGCATAAAGAGACCTGATGAAGTCATAACAAATTGTACATTTCCACAAGAATCATATAAAATACATCAGTGACGATTTCTTAAAGTCATGTTGCAAAAGTTGCTCAGTTAAATGAAATTTGTAACTCTTTGTCTTTCTACCCATGACAAACTTGATATGCCCTCATTTCGTCGCAGTAAAATTCATCATAAAACTTTTGTATTAAAATTTATCTTTTGCTGATTCGCAAACTCCACTGTGCTGTGCGACATTCATTGTAGACGGCGAAATCTTGTAAAATAATATTGACCATTGCATTATGTACATTACATATGTACAAACATGCATATGGTGCCTCCAGTGAATCTCTTTCGGTGCAGGACGAGCAAATGAACGTGATTCGAGCAGATTCTGCTGAGAAAACACATTACCAGCATCTCGTGCTAATGTCCCCTTGTTCATACCACGCCCAACTCAATCTATACATATACAGGCTTTCCGATCGAAAAGTGAATTTCCGGCAAAGATTCTCTCGGCTGCCATGAGCGACGAAGTCGAGTGGTGGGAATGCGAAGCGAAGAATGTTTATGAACTGCAAGGTTGTGGAAAAACTCGTGATTGACGCTATTGCTGAAAGTTGCACTAAAGTAGCCAGTATAGCAGCCAGTACGGAGAGTGTGGGAGAAACTTTTATTTCAATGAACCGACACGAGAGCTCTTAAGTGACATTTCATAAGAAGCGGCCACCGTTGGGGTGTGAGAGAAACTTTTCCTAATATCTTTGTCATTTATTGCTGTCGTATTTTAAACCATTTTCACTCACCAGCCATTGCCAGCCATTAAAAATTCTCCAGCGAAAAGTGACATTCTTAAATATTTAATGGTGACCGTTTAGTTTGGGTCTTGCAGTGCGACGAGCTGTAAAAAGCATGGAAACCACACCCACAAATTCATGCCACTATGCTCTCTCCTCGTTCTGCTTCTTGGCGGACCAGCTCTTCGGCCTCGCACGCGTCTGTCTGGCAAAACAGCCTCTCTGGACAGAAATCGACAAAGTTTTGCCGTGGAAGATAATTAAAAATAAAAGTGGAAGAGATGAAAAGGCAATACACCTGATGACCTGGCGTTTTCTTTGTCGTCTTCCCCTCAACACTGCGAGGAAAATGATCTTGTATGCACGTTGACAATGAAATACCGAATTTGGAATTCAAGTGTATTCATTAAGAATTATGTATAAGTTATAAGAAGTATGACAAGATAATTAATAATGACAAAGCATTGTCCACATTTGTTTCTTTCAGTGTCATCAACTTTCCATCCCCGATAAGAGAATATAATCTTCAGCATTTGTTCTTCCACTCTTGATTCCGCCTTGCATCGCGGATGAGTGATTACATGATGCATTGAGAGACCTAATCATCTTGACACAATGTGAAAGCTTCCCCACTTCCTGCACACGGGCGGCGAAGATTGAATGGGAGGAATGTCTCATAATTCTTATTTACTTATCCATCTAATATTGATTGAAGGAGCAGAAAGTGGCATGTTGTTTGTAAATCAACCCACCCGCCATCGGGAGGATTCCTTAAACATGGAAAATGTATATAAAAATGATAAGCTACACATGACATATGGATTTAAGGGATGTATCCAAAACATGGGGCAGGAGGAGAGGCAGAGAAATTCACTCACACACTTGGGCCGAAAAGAAGTGTGTCATAAGGAGTGAGAAAGAGAACAAACACTCAATATATGTTTCTTATTACATTTTGAGGGTGGTCTTGATCAAAGTATTCCTTATGTCTCTCCTCCATAGAATATATAGAAGACACTCTCTCGCTCATGCACATCCATCACACAAATTTAATGATGCTTTCTCCATATATAAGCTGTTATACAAATGTACAAATACAGATATTCGGCGGATAAAGATGTGGGAAAGCTCTTTGCATACACACCCTTCCACCACACTCAATGCCACTTTTCCACTCTTTCCACCGGTTCCCACTCACTTTTCAACTCACTTTTCATCCCCCGGTGGAAGCTTTCTCACCACACAACATGAGACAGTCGCCCCGACGGGCGACGGGGCAGAAATCAGATGGGGATGGCGTGCTAAATCGACTTTCGACAGAATCGAAACCAAAAAGTTCACTTCTTTTGAATAATAATGACAATGAATTTTTCAAGAGCCGGAAAATTCCCTAGATGCGCGACACAGACGTGCATTTGCGGAGCATCCCCGAAAGAAAACCTCATCGGACTGTGGATGGGGGTGGAAAAAAATGGAATATTTTATATACAAAATAATAAAATTTGTATTATGAGAAGGAGTGAAAGCCACAGGGGACAACAAACGAGATTCAAATGGTGAAACTTGGCGCGAAGATGCTGCTGAATAATGCAAAGATATTTCCTCGGAATGGCCAAGAGGGTGGAGGAGGCGCGACCCCGAAAAATGCTGCGTGTCTGTGACGCAAAGTGATTGCAAATTGAAATGAAACATGGATAAATCATAATTTTGCAGTGCAATTAGTGGCTTTCCCACAGACCCTCCACATGGCCGACAATGCTTTCCGCATGTATGTAAACAATTTTGGCCAAATTGCCATTAGCAGCAGAAACCCAACAATCATCTCGCACTTTAATGTGCCACATTAATGTTAATTCAACTAGCTCTAGCTCCTCTCCCGAGGGCGTCAATCGACCCACCCTCACATCTGCGCCCTCGATTCCCAATTCCCCAAACGTAATACATATTCTCATTTGGCGCTCGCTTTCGCTTGGAGAATTTGTCAATGCAAATCATCCCTATGTGTGCGTCCTGGGCTTTGCCACTCAACCTTTTCATCGTCGTTGGGTGCGCCTTTTCGACATGGAGATTGGTCTTGGTGAAATATTTTAAAAGGAAATTTGATTTGTAATCACCTTCAGGCACACCTGAGGAGCGCCTGAGACAGAGAATATTTAATGAGGATTGACTTCTCACGGGGAAAATTAATGGAATTTCCCCATCATTGTCAATTGAGACAGGATACCCAGGGGTAAATTGAACACCAAAGGCTCTCGCTCCCTTTTGGACGAGGCGACGTTAGAATGCCGCATCGAAATTTGCTCTACAGCCTCTCATCAAGAGCAGGTAAATTAGCCAAATCCATCTTTACTCCTTTATTTTTGACTGGAGAATTTGGACAAATTGAAGGATTTTCGGGGTTTGTAGTCAAAATCAGATGAAACATGGAATAATGGGAAATGAAATTGAGGATTTGGGCTAAAAATAACCACAATCCATGGCTTAATTACAATTTGTGTCAAGATTTTGATCCAGATTTCAATGTCAGAAGAAAATAGTGCAAACAATCAATTAGAAATGTCCTACAAACTATACTAAGACACATTCAAGCGATTCTCTATTCTTGCTTGCAACCGAATGAATTCTAGAGGAAATAATGCATTACTTTGTAGTATTACAGCATTCCTCAGCGTCTGGCAACATGGCAACAGCTTATGAAACGATTTCAATAATTTATGTAGTTTACCAATCGCTTTCAGACTCAAATTGATGCATTAAATTTCATTTCCTAAATTTACACATTCAACTATGTCACATTTATCATCATGTTTACTACTACGGGTATTTACTATGTCAATGCTTTGATTGTTGCGGAAGTAATCATGCAAGGATACTGCACTAATGACTGTCATTGTCATCGGGAATCAGGAAAATGCAGTACAATCCATAATACTCTGGGACGGTGAAAATCAATCCGGCAAAGTGTGTGACAGACGGATATTTAGCGAAGCATACGGAGAGCTTTCAAGCTCTCTCCTCGAGCTCTCAGCCGATGTCTCACCAGAGATTAGAGCATATTTCTGGCGTGGTGACACTTTCTCCCACATTTTGGGGTCGTCCTCGGGCGCCATTGGATGCGGTGGGTGTGAATTTTAGCCAAACAAACTGACCTCAATTGTGGTGCACTGAATATTCTGCTGCACCAAAAATTGTTCATGATTGCCATAGAGCTGGCAAATAGCAGCCGTTGAATTGGTAGACATGAAATTTGCGTGAAATCCCCGCACGTTTCCCGGCGCGGCGATGCCAGGGAGAGGGGCGGAAGGTGCCCCCAGAAGCGCGCCTTTGTGGGCAAGAAGGGCCAGGCGAAGGGGGAGGAAGAGAGGCATGCCGAGAAAGATGCCAAGTTGGGTGCTTTGTCTACTTGTAACTGGGACAAGGAACTGTAATCAGGACACAACGTTCTTGAATACCCAACTCACACACCCAGCGTGGGGCATCTCCGAGGGAGGCTCCTTGCACTCTTCTGGCCTTGTGATGGAGATTTAGGGTGTGAGATATGATAAAATATGCACAAACATGAAGCACAATCCTCACGAGGTTTATAAATTCAACCTGCAGCCACCCTTCATTTGGGTGAAAAGGTGGTACACACATATGGGCAAAACTTACCCCTGTTTTAGCGGAAAATCCGAATCCGCCATCGTGGTTTTTCTCAGCTTCATACCCGATGCCTCCAGATTTAAACCGCACACCACAGCTCGAGACTCAAGTAGAAACTTACTCGGTAGGGGTATTTTTTTCTTCTTTAAACTAATTATTATAGAAATTAATTTTATGGTATATAAATCGATTCACGTGTGCTCCGAACTGTCGAGTTATAATTTTATTAATTTGCACTTTTTTCTTTACTCTATAACTCTGCTTTCTATTACAAATTCATTAGAATAATGTCTTCGTGTGTCTTTCACTGTTCAGTGTCACTATAGCACTATCTTATCATCACTGCAGTGGATCTCCGTGTGTCTTCTCGGCTCTGCAAGAGAGGTTGGAGAAAGGGCGTGAGGCGTGACAGGCGACCGGGTGTGAACAAATTGGAATTTTTGAACATCGAGCGTGCGAAGCATTCCCCCTGAGGCCGAGACCTCAAATTGTTTCCCAACGAGTGTGGACAAGAAGTGTGCGGATATTTATGGGGTGCGTCACGATACACATGTAACTTGGCTTTTTCTATGCCCACCCTATTCGCGATGTGGCACTCTCTCTCCGTGGAAGACGACGTTCCGACAACAAACATCCCTGACATGCGCTCTTCCGTGACGTCACGGTGGAAAATAAAATCAAGCCCTACCACCCAATTTTTGACGTGTGACTGCCACCCCTTGGGGACCCCGAAAGGGGGCCACGCCGCGATCCCAAGTCAGGCGGGAGCTTCGACAGATCACCCGCGACGCCCCCGGAGGGGCGGCGGGTGGGTGGGGAGGGAGAGAGCGCGCCTTTGTCTGTCGGCATGACGGTGGTGTCGCGAGAGTCGAGGGGGTGCCTCGGCATCACCCCCGGAGTCTATTGGAATTGGTGGGTTGTCTCAGAGGAAATCACAGTGCGATCTCGTGAGAAAAATTGGTGGGTGGACAGGCGGGAGGCCGCTGCTCATCATCGCACGCGCCCTCCATGGGAAATTTTTCGGTAGAAAAATGCACAAACACTTTTTCACCCAAGTCAGCGAGAAGAGGGTGAGCCCAAAGAAAAAGTTGAGTGTATTTTTCTAGGACATGGAAAATTGATTCCACTCCGGCTGAGGCGGGGTGAAAAGAAAACAACGTTTTTTTTTCTTCTCGCCAGTCTCTGGACGAGAGATATTCATTTGAAATGGACTAGTTTTTCCCTTCGGATGCCACTTTTGTTAGAAAATTCACACACACACACACACGCACACACTGAGGCACTTTTGGGAGCTTTTGGAAGGGGACTTTTCATCTTCTGCAGAGGACAGAGAGTCTGCAGAGAAAAAAAACTGCCGAATCGGACAATGAGAGCCACTGTGCATGGGATCGTACGGGCAAAGGCCAAGTGCTCGCTGTGGCAGCTCCCGTGAAACTGATTGCGATGACGAGATGATTGGCGATAAAGTACGGATGCCACCAATTCACACACCATCGCTATGGGACAAACAAGAGAGCTGCGGCCCCACTTTTGGGGACACCCACCAGCCACACAGAAGGGTGCGGAAAAGGACTCCAAATTCTGTCACACAGGCTCCATGGCGAGCTCCACTGCACCACGTCGTCACAAACGGCCGTCCGGCCCACTGTACCGTCCGTCTTGCAATCAACTTGTGAAGTATTATGTAAAAACGGCAGAATTTTTTCCTTCGAGGGAACAGATACACACAAATTGCCACGGCAGTCTTTTCTGTTTCGTTTTATAGGGAGCGGCTCCGGCGACTCGACCCGACGACGCTGTAATCCATCGTGGCGCAGCCGCCGGGGCGCGGATGGGGTCGATTGCGCAACATCCCAGTTGTAAACTTCACGCACTCCACCGCACCACACAGTGGCCCCGATCCCCGACAGGCGACACTTCCACCATTTTGCCACGAGGGTGCAGGACCCACTCGCTGAGGGGCCCCACCGCCGCCCAGCCTCACACCCCCGCCGAGAGCTTCCAACGCACGTGGCATCGATGTGTCGCTACAGGATCGCACTCACACCGCCACACTGCCTGCCACCAGGCGCAGAGGGAGCTTTTCGCTCCGAAGCTGACGAACTGAAGCGCCAGCGGTGAGAGTCTTCGAAAGCGGACGCGCTGCGAAAGCTTCTGTCCGCACATTTGCGCTTCGACACAGCGAAAGTCCACAAGAAATTGAGAATTTATGCTTGAATAAATTACTGAAATGTCGTCAATATTCCACCACTTCTTGAGCTCCAAAGATCAACGCTTCGATTTTATTATCCTTTTATTATCTCTTTTTAAACCTACAATTATTCTCACTGTAATCAAATATAAGAATTACTATAATTAATTAATAATTGATCAACAGTGTATTTTCTTCAGTATTCTCTCTTTCTGTGTATCTATTTTGCTTTCTATTTTCTCGTGTTATTCCTTTTTGCTTCTCACATTTTTTTTTGTAATTTTTACTCCTTTTCTCTCTATCATGCATCTATTTATTTCGGGAAAAATAACATGAAAAACTGTAATTTCTTTTCTGTCGTTACTAACTTTATCAAAATATGAACCACCTTAAAACCTCTACATTCACTGAATTTCTATTTGACTATTTCTCAAACTCCTTTTTTTGTAAGTTTTAAACTTTTTTAATTGCTGAAAATTGTGGGAAAACCTCCAATTTAAATTTTACTTATGTCTCTTCTGTGGATTATGTAGAGTACTTCTGAGAAAATCTAAATTGATTTACAAATTTAGCAATGGTATATGTTTTGGTTACCTCAATGTTCCTAAACAAGTAAAAAAACGATATTTACTGTGTAAAAATTGACAGAATGAAAGCAAAGCAAAATTATTAGAATTTATTATAGGTATATTCATCCTCTTAAGATTAAACGTATTTTATATATTATTAAAACAAATCATGAATATAATATGTAATATATTATTAGTTGTTTCTATCATTTTTCATCATCTTTAAATTGTAGTTTTAGTCAATAAATGGTATTATTTCGCTTGTTTCTTTCAATCATCCTTGTCCATCTCACTTGTATTCTTGTGTGTTTGTGTTCTGTGTTATTTTCATGAATTTGTATTGGACTGAAATTTCAAGTTAAAAATCTATGTCAATTTACTTTCTACTTCTATTGATTGAAATTTTTTTTCTTCTTTTCAGTGAAATCTATAAAAAAGTTAATTGGTTTTCGTATATAAAGAATTTTTTACCGATTTTTTTTTCTCATCAACTGCGTCACTTTTACTACATTTCATAGTTTTTTAATTACTTGTTTTTTTTCTGTTTTACTCTCATCAGTTTTGTTTTTTAGTATATAAAAATCGGTATGTTACTTTTAATAATTCTTTCTTCACTTACTACTAAAATACATCACATAGCAAAATGCATTTTGCAGGAATAAAATCTTCTTTTATCATTTAGTATTTCCTCCATTTCATTTTGTTTACCTAAAATATTAATTATTTATAGTCCGTTTTTGTTGGTACATTTAATATTTCGTGTTTTTATTTCTATCTTCCGCGTCACCTCGTCTCATTTGTTGCTGTATATTATCTTCCAACATTATCCCCGTCTCTAACTTTCACGGCTTGACTGTTTTTGTTGACCCACGACTTTTCCTAGCTTTTCCAATCCAATCTCTCTCGCATCTCTCAATTTCTGGTATTTCCCACTTTAAAAACTTTGTACACTTCCCACTTTCCTCTGTGTATATTTTATCTCAATATGCCCGCAATCCTTTATTTAATTCCTATTTTTAGACGCTGTTTTTGACTTTACTTCAAATGGTCTCTACGTATTTCTCTTATATTCCAAAAAATTTTTACATTTCATTTAAAAGTATTCTTCTGTCCATTCCTGTGTTGTCTGGTGTAATTCCAATTTTTTCTGTTCTTTTAAAAGCTATGTAAATATTTTCATTTGTTAAAAAAAAACTTTGTAAAATAGTTAATTAGACAATATAGAAAAAATATAAAGTAAAAATTATGCATTTATATAAAAACCTTATATAGAGATTATAGTGCAAATTATTTGTAAAGACAATCCATGTTAAAAGGAAAAATAGTTATGTAAATCCTGTCTTAGAAGAAACAAAAATATGCTGTGTGTGTATGTATGTATTGTAAAAAAATCAAACGGAAAACTATGTGTAAGTGTAAGAGCGATATTTAAAAAAAAATGTACTTAAAACGGAGCGTGTGCTGTGAAGTATACTAATAAAGAACTTTTTGGACCTTTTCTATCCGCATTTTCTCTACTACCAATCTCGCCTACAATATTAAAAATAAATACCGAGCATTAGTATTTATACAAAAAAAATATTGGAAGAACAGTATGAGTTCATTAATCAGGTAAAAATGAATATTTCTATAAATGTTTGTTTCTTTGTTTTCTCACAAAATAGAGCGTCTTCGTCAAATTATCAATAAAAGATTAGGTAAAAAAAAAATTGCCACTCAATGACACTGAAATCCTTTTATACGTTAGCCAATTCACAATGAAAATTTAGGGGTTGTTTAATTAAATTTTACTACTATGGCATTAATTAGTGATAAGAATTATGCATTTGTGTCTGTGTGTGTATGTAAAGAAAAATTGTCTCACTAGGAATTTGCAATAATTTACATGAGTTTGTCAATGAAAAGTGTTTGTATGTGCTTCAATGTCGGTTAAAATAGATTCTTTTTTTTGTCCATTCTTACAGGGAAATAAGAAAAATTTCAAAATTACTTTTTCTTTGAAATTAATTACAATATACACTATACGAATAAATTTATACAAATAAGATTTTTTTCCCATTTCAAATTCCTCTGCATGCAACACAATTTTAAGAAAATTCAAAGTTTAATTTTTACATCGGTTCGGTTCGATCGATCGATTAAATTATGTGATTTTAGAAAACATTTTCTTCTCAAAATTCGTGGGTACTTTCAGTGTTCTTTGCCTAAGTTCATCGCCACACAAATGGAGTTAAAATACCTTCAAGAAACTCCCCATCATCGCCTCAACATTACACTTCTTTCCTATACAAAGCCCATGAATTTTCATCCTATTTCACTCCATCTTCACACTTTTTTAGTTACTGTTGTTCTCTCCTTTTAATGCTATTATGATGTATTATCTATATTTACTTTATAAACGATAAATTACATTTACATATTTTGATATTGCTAATTATTTTTCTTCTTTCGCAACTTGGTTGTAAAATAGCACACAGACAATTTCACCTTTATTTGTTTCTACCTTCCTCTTCCCCTATCATCAATCTTTCACCTCCGAAAATTTCTCCCTCTCCTAGTCACTCTTCCAATTCAATATTGAAGTCTCAATTCAACTGCCTCGCCGAATCGAAGAATTGATTCAGAGAAAAGGTTCTCTTCATGCCTTCAACTCGACTTGATTTTTTGCTTTTTTCACTGTATCTCCTATCCTTCTAATTTTAGAACTTTACATGCTTTTAGATGGTTTCTTTCTGGTTATTAATGCAGATTCTCTCTCTTTTTGAAAATATTGTTTGTTTGTATATTTATTAAAATGTCTATTTCATGTCTGCGCTTCGTTCTGCAGAAAATCTCCCCGCATCTTTCTGACAAGTGTGCTCATTTTCATGGTTATTTATTACTTATGTTTAAATTTTCTTGTTTTTTTTTGTTATTTTGTATCATCAGTCTTTTCTCCCACTTGCTTTATAAGGCAGCGCAATGGTCTCCCCCATAAGAATCACCATGTTCCATGGCAGCTTTGCTCCTTTTTTTGTCCTCAATTCCGCCCGGCATCTCACATGAGCCCCATCAGAAAGGCATCCTTGCAACTCTCTTGCGCCAGATTTCGCGACCACCCCCCAACTCATAGAGTCCATCCAACGGGAAACCCCCAATTTACGGATTTTGCGCTTCGCTAAAGTTTACTTTTATATACGTTATCATAATTTTCTCATAAAAATTTTGCTCCTTTCACCACACTTCCGCCCTGTCCAGCAGACTCTACCTTTGACAATTTGGCATCTTCTTCAGCCCTCCGGAGTGACTCCTGTAGTAGTGCTTGTGGTAAACTTAGGGAGAAAATCAGATACTGTGCATATCGCCCTTGTGAAGTGTATCTCTCAGTAAATCTGTCTGCGTTTCTTGTTTGTCGTTTTGGACGGGATAATTCCCAGAGATAGAGTCTGAGTACAAGGAAATTTGTCTCAATTCAGCATGTCTTTACATCGTATTCTCTCTGCCCTTCCTAAGCATTTCTCAATTCTCCTTCCTTTGTTAATTAATAGGACTAATTGCAAAATTTTCTTTGCCATATTTACAACATACATATATGTACATAATTTATATAACATACATACATATACATGACGTGTATTTCAAAAATCTTTTTCACCCTCCTTCGCTGTGGCTGTCCTCCTCTGAATCAGTTCACTCTAATCAGTAGAAATTGCATATCTATTACTTCTTTTGTATCTTCTTATCACCCCATTCTCCATCCATCGTATTGACAAAAATGATCATTTGTGGTGTACAATTATTAAAATTTCCATTTTAATTTGCCATGAAATGTCCCATATTTCTTTCTTTCTTTCTTTCTTTCTTTTTTGCATGTGTATTGTGGAGAATAACAATAAATCTTCATTAAAGAATATCAAGAAAAAATTGTGTTAAAATCAAGAATTTATTTTACACTTCAGCTGGATTGTATAAAAATGAAATAATCAACCAAAAAGAAAATTACAATAGACAAAACGTTACTAGTCAAATGAAAAGAAAATTCAAAATTAATCATAATTGAAATTAAAAATACAAACATTACTATGGCATTCTCTTCATCCTCATCATTCCTCTCTCTCTCTCTTTCTCTCTATTTCTTTTGCAACTAAGATTAAAATAGTTATTAAAAATCAATTACTTTAAAGAAAATATAAAATTAAATTAAACATAACATCATTTGTTTATTTGATAAAAAAAATCTGTGTAAAAATTTTGTTATTTCCTACTATTTTCTTTTTTTTCTACTATATTTAGAGAATATTTTCTTTCATTACTTTCACCATCGTTTTTTTTTGACAGACTTTCTCCACCGCACATTTTGTCTTCATAATTCACCTTCACAGAGAAAAAAGCGACGAGACTACGGATTTTGGAAGATTTTGCTTGAAATTATTACAACGAACTATTCTTCTTCATTTTCGCCTTTGCCCAACTTTCGTCCTTTCTTTTTACATTCTTACACTTTTGCACATCGATTTTATCGACTTTTTCTGTATATTTCTCATCCTGTTTTCTTTTTTTTCTAACCGATTTTATCGATTATTGTCGTGAATTTAAATCTTTTTCTCGATTCCTACACTCTTCTTTCCGCCGCGAGCCAATTTGAAAAAATTTTGAGATTTTTTTTACACCATTTTTCTCTCACAATTTTTTTTTGTTCCTAAAAGTACGTATCGAAAATACCCTCATTTTTTCTCACAATTTTTTTTTTCGAAAAAAAACACCTAATTTCATCACAATTTGGAATTTTTCAAAAGTTTTCACCTCCTATCAATACATTTGACCAATGCCTAATATAGAATCCAATATCTTGAGAAAAATTTCCTCACTAATTTTCACTCGTTTTCCGCCTTCACTTCATGTTTTTTTCTTTTTATAATTAGAAAACAAAATTAGAAAAAAATATTATAATACAAAAAAGTCAGTCGATGTAATAATTACTTCCTTAAAAATATTAATATATTTTTGCAATTTAAAAATAGAAAATGGTGGTTCTAGATTTCATTTTTTTCCTTCACTCTTCTCCCTATACAATTATTTATAGAAAAAAAATATCTTATGCCAATGATGATCCTCAATTTCATTACTTTATTGTGTTTTGTTGTTTTCGCCCAACACGCAGTAAAACTACCAAGTATACTTAAACACCTAAGAGATAATTTAGCGAACGATGACAAGTTAAAACGGTGATGACAAAGTTATACTTAATATTACACCTCCATCTGTCCCTCTTCCTTCAATTGATTGATACCACAATAGTTCTGGACATTTCCATTAAATACTAAATTCGATTTTTTGTGTAAATTTTGTTTCTTCCTCTCCCAATTCATTTTTGTCACATTTTGAAGAAAATTAAAAAGATGTCTAAAAAGCCTTTGCAAATGTCTCTTATTTTCAATGATATTCAGTGAGATGATATTATCCGATTAAGGATGTCTAAATGAAAATTCCACAATTGTTCACCAGCTATCCTTGCATTTAATCACAATGTGAGAAACATCATCTAGACACCTTATATTTTGCTAAACTCTCTGTTGTCCCTTGAATTTACCACTTATAATTATATCCAAGAGAAAAATTCCTTCTTAAAGATTTTCACACCCAAATAAATTAAAAATTCCTGTTTCCATCTAAGAATCCTTGTCACTATTGTAAGAGCGTCAATAATGAAATTTTCATCATTGGTCAATTTCTTCTTCTTAGAGCGCATTTCGCAACAATTTATCAGCTTATCAAACTCTCAAACAGCATCGAATTATGTATATATGTAATCTCAAAACTTTCAGTCACGAATACACGTTTTTTTTTTCAATAGAGAATTTTAATTTAAAATTCTTAGAAAAAGTTTCATGCACTTTCTTCTTAGAAAAAATCACCACTTCTTCTTCTTTCTCTTCTCATCATTGTGAACAATGCCTAATAAGTAAAATTGGTTATTTCATTTGACTCTCCCACTATGATATCAAGGTATGAAAAGTGTCTTCTTTTCACTAAATTTCTTTCACTCTCTCTCTATCTTCCGTTTAATCTGCTTGATATAATTTAATGTCAAAATCTACAGTAATTAGAATTTAGTAAATCTTATCGCAATCATTTTGAATATCTCCGCAACAGCGCAGCGCAGCTATTCGCCTTCAGTATCAACTCCTTGTCACAGCTATCCGTTTTAACTCCAACTTGGGTATGTGTCAGTATACCATTGTTCACCATTGGCGCCTAAAGGTTGCTGAGGCAGCGGTTGACTACCCCAGTTTCCGCCATTTCCAGGACCACCATTTCCTATTCCACTTCCATAGCGTCGTTTCGGATCTCCCTGATTCTGGTGACCACCGTCAAATTTGCGTTTACCGACTGCTGATGGAATAGCCAGAGACAGAAAAAGACATTACATTAGATAACAGGAATCAGGAAATCACTAAACATGCATTCCGCTTACAAACTAATCTTAAAGTTATTCCAATAACTCTTATATTTCTCAAAGTACCCTCAACGGTACTGGGGAAAATCAACTTTCTAACTATGCATTTGGAATTATATCATCTCAAATAAATATCCAGTCATTTAAAGATCGATACTCTCATCTCCTAGCATTAAACCCAAGAGCAAGATCACAGGATTGGGGAAGAGGAATAAGAAATAGTAAAAATAAACAGTCATTTGGAAAAGACTACAGTTGAAAAAATGAAAGAGGATTAAAAGGAATACCTATGTGGTCTCTTATAAATCTTGCTTATCCACTTCTTCATTTCTTCATCATTGGTTTCTTGACTTGAGGGTTTCTTCTTCTCAATCTCACAACATAATCAGTATTCATCTCCTTTGTAAATTCCACAAATTTCTTGACAATAAACACGAAGAGTATTTTTCTCTTCTGACTCAAGTTAAACCAAAACAAATATTCCCTCAAATGTCGTCTTCTTCTTCTTTTCCTAATAGCACAGACACGCATAATCGATTGACGCTGCAATATTACCATTAAAAGAAAAGATAATAATAATGCAGTTCACTAATTCTCAGTGTCAATTTGGTTAAAATTAATAAACTCTATAGTAAATTACTTGATAGACAATTAGAATTCAGTAACATTAAAAACTGGTAAAATATTATAATAAAATGTGAGTGAAATGATTAGTAAATAAATTGCGGTTGGTGTTCATTGAATGACAGAAGTAAGAAAATGTGCCTTGCGAACTTTCGGCAAAGTATATACAAATGGAAAATTGTAAAATTCAAATAGTTTCAACAAATCAAAACTACATATCGACAGCTCTAGTTTACACACTTTATAAGCTATGCAAGTGAGTGTAAACATGTTCAGAGAAACGTCTGAAAAATCCCTCGATGGAAATAAAATCTATAGTCAAAAAAATGACCATCAACCACAATGAAATGTTTCTTATTATTTTTTAAATGACTGAAACGAAAATAAATAAATAAAAATTAAATATTAATTGTGAAAATGATGATGACTGTTACAATGAAAGTATTATGAGATGAAGCAACACGTATTGTGAATATTTACAGAAAATAAAACATTGAATTCTCATTAAAAAAAAAGAAAAAATTGGGAACGGATGAGTGGAAATGATGATACGGGTCTATTGGGAATATAGAGAATATGTATACAGTAGAGGTAGTTATTAATTGGTAATATAAAATTAAATAAGTAACAACCAGATATGTATTATAAAAATCAAGTGTCTCAAAAAAGAAGTTAACATAAACGAATCGATTAGTATTAGAATTAATTTCTGTATTTCCTCGGCATTATTGAAATATGGATTAAGTAACAAAAACTGAGAGTATTTTATTTTTTGTTTTATTTTTGGATTGGTTTGCGACAATTTGTTAGCGAATTATTGATTTCAATGCATAAATGTGTACAAAGAAAAATTCATTAAACAAAATATGATGATAAAAAGCGGAAGAATAGCAAGTGCAATCGCAATTGTACAAGTATCGTATTCAGTCAAAAGAATTTTTTTTACAAAAAAAAAGTGAATAACAATTGTATTGCAAGAAAACAAGCCAATTAGGTGAAGTAATAAGGTGAAATGTGTGAATGAGTGTGATTTGTGATTTCATTTTCTAGTCCTTCTTCAAATTGACTTTTCCTACAGATAGTTTTTATCCATCTTTCTTTCCTTCATTGATTTTGCGTAAATAATTGCAAGTGATTTTAAATAATTGTATCTCAACCATAACAATTCTATTGCATGTGTGCTTATATACCACTTGTGTCTTCTTCAATTTCTGTTGTCCGTCTGTCAATAAGATTTTCTTCCCAATTATCGTGATCTAATTGTATAAAAACGTAAAATTAAAACTGAAATTATTGAATTTATGCATAAAGTTCTTCTCAATACTCAAGAATACACAAAATAATGTTAAATTAGTATATTATAACAAAATTGTATAATATTCACTTCATTAGACCATATTCTAAATATTTACTCTGTAATCTTATCGCTTTCTTCTTACTAATCGATTCATTTCTTATTTTTTTCTTATAGAATTTAAATTCATAATTACATAAAAAATTAAATAGCTTTATAATAAGAAAAGTAATTAAAAATTAAACGGTAAGTTCCCATACTGCTTTTCCTATCCATGATTTATATTTCATTAAATTGCATCACTTCAGTACAACTTATTTCTCACGCTCTTTTCAGAATCACATTAAAAAAACAAGAGTCGAGATCAAGGTTTGTAAGTGTTGTGTAAACAAGTGGAAATGTTCAGTATAAAATCTAACAAGAACAAAAAATATATCAAATGCAAAGTTTGTTCAATTACCTTCCAAACAGCTCCTCTCTATATATATTTAATACGAATCGAAAATCTCCAGAATTTATGTCAGATGTGTAATAGACATCTGAATAATCATGCAAATTTAACGATTTTCGGAAACAGTTAGTTGTATTCATAGAAAGACTTTTTGATATTTCCTTTAACTAAAGCTATAGCCGAAAACTAAGCTTCGAATTCTGGTACTGTTGAATGTATTCTCGTCGGACATACACTTATGACGTGTGTTTCTTCAATTGTTCTTCTTTTGTTTACACATTATTATATCATTCTGACCTTATGTAGTAATGAAAACTTTCGTGTAAAAACGTCAAATTATTATACAAAATGATTCGAAATCAGAGAAATAAAAATGAATACAAAAAAATACTGAGAGAAACAATATTGATGTGTCGAAGTAGATGATCTAGTGGAGTACAGATTGTGTATCAAGGGGTGGTAAAAGCAGTAAGAGAACCAGGCCGTTCGGCAACGATACAGACCGTCCTCCTCACCTGGTAAATTTTGTTGCGGCTTGCCGCGCTGGGTGCCACGAGCGTTGGGACGAGTTTGACCCGCCCCACGGACCCCCCCGGTTGCTGCCTGAGCCCCCACGGTGGCCCCCCGTTGAACCGGAGGGGCCCCCTGACGATTGATGTTGCCACGGAGCCCAGCGGCTCGGCCACGCGCCGTGATTCCACGCCCATGACCACCCCCCTGTTATTAATTTTGTCACACATTTGCCGTACATTCGAGGAGCCAAATATCAGCACAAACAGAATTTCCATTTTTTTTTGTGTTTCATTGCCAAATGGGCGAAATTTCGAAAAAGAAAAAAAATTCATCCGAAAACGGCAAAATGTACAAATTAATAGGCGAGAGGATGAGCCCCAAAAAAAGAAAAGCGAAGAAAATCGCGTTAGAATTGTGTTTTCAGATTAGTTAATTTGGTATTCTATGCAAAAGAAAATCAAAAACTTGTTTTTCTTTTTTTAGTAAAACAAAATTCAAAAATCCTAAATGAAAATTACACTTTACAATATTTAATCGGAAAAAATTGCAGTCATCGGAGAAGAGAATGTCATGCCACAAGTATTTTCTTATTTCATTTATTAACTTTTCACACGTTCATAAGAAATCTCTTTACAGATGATGACTTACAATTTCACCGATAATTCTTAAACATACTTGTAATGGAAAATATCACTTCACGTTTTCACAATTCCTACAAAAATAAATTATGAAAGCATGAATGATATTTATTAACAGAAAATAATAATTTCTTAAAGTATTCTCTAAAACATATTTCTACTAATCTGTTGAATTTTCGTTTCATTTTTTTTGTTTAAGATAATTTTTGTGTCACATCATATTTGTGAGCATAAAACACTGCTTCTTCAAATATAAAGTGACTGTAAAGGAATATGAAAATCTTAAAATAAGAAATAAAATAAAATTCGAAAATATTCTACTAATTTCAATTCAATGTTCACATCTTTTAATTTCTTCAACACATTTTCAGGTGATGAGAAAATGTTGTTTTTCTTTGAATCGTAAACACGATATTTGCGATTGCCAGAATTGTATTGTCAATATAAACGTGTTAATTTGAAGTATCTTCTTACCAAAAAAAAGTCAAGTTAGAAATTTTGCGAATGAATAATTAGTTTTGAAAAGCGATGATGATTTTTCACATTTTGGTCATTATTTTTATTGAAAATTAAGAGAAAGGGGATTGACATAATCTACTGCAGCTCTTTTCTCAAAAATGATCTCAATAATTACTGGATTAAATCATTAATTGGTCATAATTCACGTTAAAGTAAAAATGGCAGGATATAATAATGTACACGACCAAATCGTAGGCGGGTTGCTAAAGCAGGGGTTTTGCACCTAATTATGTTAATCAACAAAAGTTAAATACAATTACCCTTGTCATGAAAGTATGGTGAGTAAAGTGAAGTTATTGAAAATATTTCTTTTTCACGTATAGATAATATTTTCAATAATTCAAAAAAGTTAGTTACTTATTTTAGCTTTCTCCCATCTCAAAGTGTTATTTCTCACACAATGTACATAACCTTAGTGAAAAATAGACTGTAGGAAAAAAAGCAGGAAGCATAATAAAAAGCAACGAAAAGCATTGTCAAAAAAAGTGAAGAAAAGGCAAAACATAAAGAGGTGTCGTAAAACAATGCAAAATAGGCAGTAAGAAAGCGATAATAATAAGCAAATAAATCGTAAAATATACTCTTTTTTCCAAATACGAAGTATGTAGATCATCACGATCTCTTCGTATTATCTTGTGATTATCTTTTTTTGAAATAATAGTGTAACTAAAAAGAACCGTAAATAAAGCAACAGCAATTCATAAAATATATATATAATTTGTGAATGCAAATAAATGCTGGTGTGAGTTTTTTTTTTAGATTAAACGAAATGTAGTTGCAGAATTAGAAAAAAAAAGAATTTCGAAAAATATCTGAGCCTTTACCAACATTAATTGGATCTCGGCTATAATTTTCACACAATTTTATAAATTGCTGCTTTTAGCCCGTTTTAAACGTACCAAGACTCTTCAAATGGACGTAATCCTTTCTCCCCTCTTAAGGCTCTTCTCATGTTCAACCAATAAATACCTATTAATCTTCTTGGACAGATAATATAATATTTCCACCATAATTAAAATATATTTGTGTGGTTGTTTTAGTTACTTTTGGGCTCAGATATGTTTCGAAAAAATTGCATAGGCACTTAATTATTTTAGACAGTTGGGAATTGTTTTTTGCAATTTTATTCATAAATAAGTGACATTAGAAAGTGAACAATTTGAAACTCTTCCCAATTCAAAGAAAATTCATAAAACACAGTACGCTTTCAAAGAACCACACAAAACCGCCAACCGTTGCAACCTGCCAGACTGTATTTCGACTAACTTTTTCGGAAATTGTGTTACAGATTGCAAAAAAAAATTAGGTTGCACATCAAAAAATGTCTTCATCAAAACCAGGAATATTGAATTGAAATATGCTTTTATCAAAATATATGTTTATCAGTAGTAAATAATATCTATTTTTAGCTGATTGATGATATAAGAAAAAAAACAAAAAATTACAGAACAAAAAAGTCAAACCCACCGAATCTGATCTGGATGTTCTCGGTGGTCCGCCTGCAGCGGGTGCCACACCACTCGGGGAATAATCATAGTAGTAATCCCCATCGTAAGAGCGGTAATAATCATCGTAATATGGCTCACTGTATCCCCCGCGATAATCCGAATACCCATAAAAGTCGTAATCATAATCTACAATAGACATTTTACGTTGTAAATCGATCAGAATTTGCCTTTACCAAAAATATATAAATCACATATTACATATAAGATTTGATTTTCTAACATAATAAAATTATATATAAAAAAATTATATTAAAAAAAAGAAAAGAACTGTCGATTTCTTTTAAATAATGTAGTGAAACAAGGTATAAGAAGTCATAAAATGTTATATTTCTAAAGAAAAAAATAAAACTTGAGAGAGCTTCAGACAAAATCACTTCATGCTTCAGATAAAGAGATAAACTACCATTTGCCTAAAATTATTATTGTCGTTTCCAGTCGTTTTTGTTTCATGAACCTTTCCTTTTTTGTTTGCGATGCAGATCATGCCGCAAAAAGCCGACATGTTCCATATGTGAATATTTTAACATTAAAATACTTACCAATCCTGAATTTATTGCAATTATGCCAATATTTGCTTAACTTGCCAATACGCAAACACAAATACTAATAAATCTATGCAGAGATACTCTTTATGTACATTTATAGTTGAGTAATTGTGAATAATTGCACAGATTTGTCACCAATTCAGAAGAATAATTAATTTTCTGTTATAACTCAACGACAAATGTTCACTTTGAGTATCCCTTCTGATCCTTTTTTAATCCTCCTCACAGAATTTTTCACTTTGTCTATTCATTTGTTCATTGTACTTAAGTCAGAAGGTTAAATCTTTTTGTCTATTAAAATAGAATCAGACGGTTTTCTTTGTCGGAAAAATATGAATGTAAAGGAAAGAAATGTCAGAAGAATAGAATTTTCTCTGTTTACAACAAGTGGCATGCAATGGAAATTGTGGATTTTGTATTTATCAAAATTTAGAAGAAGAAAACTACTTATGTTATGTAACTGTATCAGAAAAAAGAATTTATTCCATAAGTTTGGAAAGGGAAAAATTAAAACTACAAAATACCAACACTACAAGAAATGCAGGATAATGCTATCGGGAAATACATGCATACAGGATGAAAGTGAAATCTTTTTTTTTCTCGTGGAGGAAATACAACTAATTATGGAATATGATGTGATAAAAATTTTCAATAAAAATAAAATAAATTAGGCAAAAAACTGTGATAAGTCTTTGTCTTTCGACAGAAAATAAAATAGTTTGTCCAAAATTATAAATATGAAAAGTGAAAATGATAGTTGAAACAATGTTGATACGAAAAATACCTTATGAATAATAAAAAAAATATTAAAAACTGATAGAATGACAATAACTAAAACAAGATAGCACTAAAAACCTGAAATGATTAAATGTTAGTGAAACGTTATTATTAGTGAGTTTTAATTGAGTTAATTCTTGCAATAATGACTCTCATTCTTGTTCTCCTCACAATGTAATAATGAATGCAACAAACATAGGAAGAATGAAAAAGAGTATTCCCAAAAAAAACGTTAGTATGTAATGATGTTTCAATGAATAAAGAAATTTACACATTACAAAATTTGCTTATTTACACTCGACTTATAAGATTGTCTCATTTTGACAATGAACAAAAAAAGTACAGGATATTTTGTATACTTTTACTTCTGGGGCAGCGATAGTGAGTGAAATAAATTCTTCTAGCAATTTCACTTAATTTCTCTAGACAAATAATGTCGTGTTTCATTTCTCGAAAGAACAAACTGTTGAGCTAGCATTGCTTAGATATAAAAATATTTGTTTTTTTTATCTTTATCTCCTCTGCTAAACTCAAGTCAAAGTCTATCTCAGCGATAACGTTTCTCTGTTTATATCATTCATCAACACAATTGTTTGTGTATACTTTTTTTTTCTCTTTTTAGACAAAAATATTATATTATTTCAGTTCAGCTTCGCCAAAAATTTTCATCATCCTATTGTACTGAGAGTATAACTCAGTAAAGAACACTTTGACTACATGTTTTATAGTTATCTTCTTAAGTGTACGGTAAATTGATCTGGAAACTCACCGTAATCACCGCGTCCCATTGGACCTCTCAGGGGAATTCTGGGACAGTTGGAGACACCTCTCATTGGCGGCATTCCGGCCATCATACTGGGATGGGAAGGTGACATTCTGAAGTCATCATCACTTTTTGAGCGGAAGTAATTTGGTCAAAGACTTTTGTTAGCCAATTCATCATCTTGTTGTATGTTGTGCTGAAGCTCTGGACATTATATTGTCCAAAATTGCAATACCTACCCTGAGATACCGACTCGTCCTTGCATCATCTGCAGCATTCGGCGCTCGCGTGCTCTCAGGATCTCCTCCTTCTTCTTCTTGTCCGACGGTGGTTTTGCCAGAGAGACCTGAATGCGTGACAGAAGAAATTGCATCAATATTCGCACTTTTGCCACACCAAAATTCACCTCGACATTACCTCGATATTCGATCCTCCGAGCTCCTTGCCGTCCAAATCACGCATTGCTAGGACTGCGTTGTCTCGATCCTCAAAGTGGACAAAAGCGTAATCCTTAATCTTCTTCACTCGCTCCACCTTTCCGAACTGCTCGAATTGCTCCTGAAGAATCAAATACAACACATCATTAATCGTCATTTTCTTCCATCCACACTGAACATTAATTTCCTGACATACCTTGAGCTTCTCTTCACTAATATCTTGTGTAAGATTGCGCACATAGAGAACCTTCACTTTGCTCATGGTTTGCTCATCGGGTTCCTCTTGTGGATCGGCCCAGTCGACAATAATATCGCAACCCCACACCTGTTCCATTCCGATCCCATCCATCACGCGCATCGAACAGCGAACAAGAGACCAAGCGGGAATCGCCAAAGATGTTGGAAGAGAGCAGAGAAGAAATCAGAAAGTTCAATTAAAGTAAATTCACGCCATACATTTATATAAAATGGTGAATATTTTGAGATAAAAACCATGAAAAAGTATGCCTTTTAATCTTACCTTAATCCTTCCCGTGCCGAGTCTTCGTTTTGCTAACGAGGCCGCTTTGTGTGATTCGTATTCGAGAAAGCAAAAGCCCCGATTCTTCTTCTTATCATCTGGCGAACTATAAATTATGACTTCAACGAGTCCCGCTGTAAAAATGCATTTCAAGTGGTCGAATTCATGTTAGACAATTTCCTTTCTGCTCTCGCATTCTCTAACGCAAAAATTCTTATTATTTGCTCTCTTAACAATCAATTAATTTTGCAAGAAAAAATATTAACCAAAGAGTACTTTTCAAAAAATCAATTAAAATATACATTAGGAAAAAAAAGAACTATTTATGTATATTGCCAATTTTGATCATAATCTTCTTCACAACGAAAAGTTGTTAAAGGAAAATTAATAATGCTGCGAATTTGTGTGTGTGTGTTTGCTGCATAAATTCGCATCATTTTTATTTTATTTTCAGTACAAATCAAACGAAAAAGTATTGATTTTTTTTCTGCAAAATTATATAATGTGAAAAAAAATAATGTCAACCCTCCCAAAAGTCAATGCCAAAACGCTTTTCTAGAAAAGATACATTTCGAATTGTATATTTTTGAATTTGATATTCGTGGATATACTTCGTGCTGATACAATATAATGTATATATGACGGCAAATATTAGGACGTTTATAAGTATCAACAGAAATGACAAAAATTTACTCTGCAGACAAATATTTAGTTCTGTCTGTGTGCAACAATCAATCAATATAAATAGTTTACTTCTGTACAAAATAATAAAATGTTCTCAAATAAACAAATACACATGAAAGAGAGTATCATGAATATTTGCTGGAATAATCCACAATTTCATTTTTTATATATTTGCTTTGAAATTAAAAGAGGATAAATTATAACGAAAAATATGTGAATAGACATTTATAATAGTACTTTCTCCAGTCATTACCATTAATTTGATCCAAAAATGATTCTAATTATTGGCAGACTGTAGCCAGACAATTGCTGCTCAATAGAGTTCACAACAATTTTTTTTTTACGGTCAAATTATTATTTTGCCTAATTATATATTCTCATTGAGAGTCGAGTGTCAATTGGAATGCGTCAATTGAGTCATCGCATTATGCAAAACGTACTCTCTTAAATAAACTCATTCATGAACATTGTCCAAATTTCAGACAACTGCTATTCCACATTCAAGCAAAACAATTAATAAAATTAAATTTAGCTTAGTGTGCGAATTTGGCAATGATTTGGAAAGTAATTGTTGAGCTACAGAACTGTTATGAAAATTTTGCATAAAATCAAAATCCTCTAAATTATATTTTGAAAAAAATTGTTATAACTTATTTAAAATAAAAAATATATTCCAATTTTTAGGAAATCATTATGCGATATCTATAATTCTTTGTGGTAATTTTGCAAAAAGGAATCAAGCATGAATAACTATGGTGTTAGGCGCTTCAATTATACTTAATTCTAATATAAAGACTGAAGAACAGTCCAAATATTGGAATCAAAAGTGATTAAAAAATCTATGGAAATTAATCAGTGTATAATAAATAATTTATAGTGCAATTCAAAGACTAATATAAAAACTATAAATATCGCAGTGATTTAAATTTCCAAAAAATTTACATGAAATTTTGAAGAAATTTAAATTCTTTTATTCTTACAAATTACCGAATTTCACAGCCAATTGATGAAATTTTGATTTCTCTTTTTCTCATCTTGGAGAAATTATCGTTCTTTACACTATTTTTTGCATATATATTTATCTATAATGCTTGAAAAAGAATTTTGAATTTTTTTTTCAGGTAATATATTTAACAAAGATTTATTATTGACGTCGCATCAAATTGAAACTTACGTGCATATTTTGAAAATTCCTCTAATAATTCGTCGCGATCTCTATTCTTAGGTATATTTCCGACAAATAGCCGGTGATTGTTAAATGATATCGTTACACCAATCTTTTTGCCTTTCCGAATTTCATAATCATTCAGCTGGAATCAATAAATCAATGAAGACGCATATAGGCAGAATAAAAAAATCAGAATTAAAATTATATTTGTGGGGTTCTTTTGTCTTTTCAAAAACACTTCTTTAAGGGATGATTCTATTTTCATTCTTCTCTTCATTGACTTTTACTTATATCTCACTGCTTGAAAAACAATAAAAGGGACTTTCAAGACGAGAATATGAGAGACAACATTTTGATTCACAGAGTTAGAATTCTCTCTTTTTGTCCAAGAAAAAACACATTTCGGGAATTTTTATTTTCTAGGGAAGTACAGACAAAAAAAATAATTAAGAATGATAGGAAAAATGGGGATTAGATTTTGAATTTAGTTCTCTCTTTAGTCTTTTCAGAGTGGTTTCATCTTTGTTGTTTCTTTATGGTTACTCTACAAATATATTGTAAGTAAAAAAGAATTTTATGCAAACTTTATACTAAATTAATAAAACAAATCATTATATATTTCTTTTCTTCATCGGACTAATGACTGGAGATTTTTGAACAATGATGGTGATTATGTTGAAGCTTCTATTACATCTACAATGAACATGTCTTTTAACAAACTTTGGTATTCCTTTCTCACGAATATATAATAATAAGATGAATTTTACACACACACTTCATAAAGGGGTTACTTGCTGGGGTTAATTGTGTATGACAGGAATGATGATTGGGTATGAATGTGTCATGAGATTAAGAATAGTAACATAAAAATGTATCTATAGAAGGTAACACAGAAAGCTCACATGAATTCTTGGCAATGATATGAACTATAAGGCTCAGAGCGAAAGAAAGGAACATGTAGAAATAAATACTTGGCAGTTGATACGAATTCAGAATACGCCAATGAAGCACATTTTGCAACATATCTTTATGACAAATCCAGAAATATTTATTTATGTCACAAATAGAATGTTTTCCGGAGGCAAAACTCTTGGTGTTCTCTCTGAAAACGTCTCACATGTGACACAAACAAATGGGAAATTCATCAAGAAAAATTGCATTTTGGTGTATTCCAAGTGCGTAAAACACCACAAAGAGACAATGAATAAAAAAAACTAATGAAATGATAATGAAGAGCATTAAACAATTCGCTTCTCTCAGCATTCTTCATTCAAATAAAATGATGAAGAATGAATATATATGCACTTTTTGATAAATGAGAAATGATATGTAACCAGCAACATCTGCAATTCCATCGCAAAAATTGGCCGTTGTTTCCACGTTCTTTTCTCCTTTTCCCGCACCATCATCGTCTTTCATTCTTTCTTTCTGCTCGGATACAAAGTGAAAGCATATCCCAGGGATTAAAAATACGGTTCGGAAAACAGGTGGTGTTGGTGGAATATATTTAACCTCTTGCACCGAAGCTCTCCCATGGCAAAAAGGAGGTTGATGCACCAAATTGCATTAAAATACCCACGTGAAAAGAGAGGTTCAATTACCCTATCGCAGCATTGGGTGCATGGCCTCATGATTAAACCAACAACTGGAGTTGTTCGGTTTGGAGCAGAAGCAAAAAAAGATGATATACTCAGTGCAGATGGTCAGCGTATTGAATTTTCACTCTTGCTGTGTGCATACAGCTTCTTCCGCCTGCCAAAGCTGACCACGTCTATCTCCCTTCCCAGAATGCGTGCGCGAGTTAACAGGCAAGACACTTGGAATTTCGATTGAGCTTACTTCCCCTGCCCGCCCTTTGCCTTCTCTCCTCCGCACCACAATTGCTAATTCACCTTTTCCTGGCAAAGAGAGCACAAGCATTATTTCCCCAATCGGAAACTGTTACAGCACGCATCAATCTGGCTGCGTTACAGTTCGTCCTGTCTTATTTTTATCCACACACTTTGTATTGCGCTCCACACGGCAGACATCGAGTGTACTGTTTGTGAGGCAGATAAAGGAGGAAAGAATGTGAAAAAAGCGTAACTTTGCACATGTTGAAAGGTTAATAAATGATGAGACTGAATGATGGATTCTCGTATCGATTAAATTATATTGGTGACTGAAAATATCACAAAGATGCAAACTGTTGCACATTTTCTTTCCACTTGCTTGCTTATATGAAATATCTTTTTTTTTTATGTACTACATTCTTTCTTCATTTCCTTCCCACATCGTTATTCAATGAATTCATTATTTACATTTTACAAAGTTGATGGTATACGTTATTTGCAAAAAGATCAGGTGTGACGAGAGCCCCGATTTTCTCTTCAATTTTACTTCTTAATTCTTTTTGCGATTTTTATCAAACAACCGTTACGTTCCAATTTCAAGCGCAATTCTTTTTCCTTTATACATATTTAATCAATTTTGAATACGATCGCTGTATACGAATTTTGACAAAATTTTTGTAATTTTGTAAATTTTGAGGTTTTCTTTCTGCACTTTGGAAAAAAAGAAACCTTTCATACTTAGAAGCTAGAAATTTCGACTATATGCATTTGCACATTATGCTATTATAAAGTAATTTTTTTTTAGTATAAATATAGAATTTTGAAAAAGCAATTTTGTTTTCATTTACCTGTCAATTTACCAAATTCCTCTAATATCTCCTCTTTGCCTTTCGATTTTGGTATGTTGCCTACAAAGAGGCGTAGATTCGGTACGCTTATGTTAATTTTCAAGCACTTGCCAGATTTTATTTCGTAGTTATCGAGCTGTGGGTTTAGAACAATAATAAAAAATAATCAAATAAAAAGAATAGCCAAATTAAGGGTTGATTTCTTATCAATTCTTATATAGGATATGAGGTTCAATTTTGAAGAGTAATTTGATTTGTTTGAATTTTTTCATCATTTGTTATGTCATTCTGATCAAATTTCAAAATATATTTTCAAATGATGTGGAAAGAAAGAAATAATAATTGGGAAAAAATTCAAACATAATAATGCTAAAAATAAAATAAAATTATTAGTGGATAAATGGGTCATTTTGAAGACATTTTTTCCAATAATTTCGAAAATATAGAAGGAAAAAATCATAATAGAGAATTATAAAAAAAATAAATAGGGATTTTCTACCAAATATGTAATTGGATATAGTTATCTTGATCATGCTCGCTTTGTAAAAAAAAAATCATAAAATAAAACCGGACAGCTTTTCTCTCACATATTTTGCTTTCATAATTCCTATCAACCAATTCTTTTCAAGTGTCTCTTTCATGACAGCAGCCAAATAGCATTTTTTTGCCGGAATCAATTTTCCGTCCATTCAGCCAAATGATTACAAATTTCGAAAGAGAACACTCCAAATGATACAATCAATTACCACCAATCTACTGTTTCCTCAAGTAATTAACCCAAAAGTATAGACAGAAGTAGAAGCAATAATTTTTGCCAATCATCCCAAAACCATTTTTTGTCAATTTTTTTATAAGTCAAAGTCTATGCTAAGAAATAAAACAGCCAGGTACAAATAGAAGAAAAGTTCTACGCTGCACAATTTTTTGTGAATATCTCTCAGTAGGAAACTCAAAAAAAAACTCGTACACACAAACTGGTGAGAATTTAGAATTTAGCCATGAAATTTCCCATTGAGAAAAATTTAGATTCATCAAAAGAACAAATCCGTGAGATCGTTGAATTATTGCTTGTTTTCTATTGTTTGAAAGAGATTGCAAAGAGGAGACCTGAAAAAAATTCCAATTAGAAGACACTTTTAACCAATACAGTTGATAAAGGAAGCCAGAAAAAAGTAACACTACGATTCTTCTTTCTAAAATGCCAAATATTACCTGCCACACAATTTAACTTAAGCCTAAAGAAATATTTTGTGTTTATTAGGAATAAGAGAAAAAGAAATTTGTTGTACAGTTCCTCACATTTCAGCCAATAGGATTTCCAAAAAAAAAACAGACAAAACATTACACTAAAAGCCAATTGAAATACGCGAAATAAAGCCAATTGTGCTGATCCTATAGATTATCTTCTCTCCTTTCTTCTTTCAATCTTGATGGTCTTTCGCAAGATTAAAAACGGAATTCATGAAATTGGGCTCGTCGCTACGTTGAAGCCTCGTCGTCACTTGAGATTACTTTTTGGTACTTGTTTCGCTCTTCATATCCATTCATATGTGTTTTTGTGTTATATTAATGGTATCGACTAAAGATGTTCAACATTCTCGTAAAGTTTACTCTATTTCGGTGGCGAAATACAGGAGATAGTCAAATAAAAAAATTTCACAATTCTCTTTGTGAAAGTCAAAATCAATATTTTCTTCAATGAAAAATATGTTTTGAAATTTCTCACATGTGATTTAAAGTTCTTTCTGTATTGTTTGAATTGAAAAAAAATTAATTGGTATAGGAAAAACATAATTCTTGGTTGAAAAAATCATAAAAAAAATAATCCAATTCTCTTTAAGGGAAAAAATCAAGTGTGTTTGTGTGTAAAAGATTGAGAGAAGATTAAAGGGATAGGGGATTACCGCTAAAATTAAGTAGCAAATATGATAAGTGTTCTAAAAGGTCTTACTCAAAAATAAAGAACCAAAGGCGGGTTAATCAGAGTGTTCAACAATACTGTGTTAATTTGTCTTTTCCTGTACAAATATGCAGAGAAAGAGAGACAGAGATGTTGTTTTTTTTATCTTTCTAAGGAAAGTGATAAGAATTACATGTGTGAGATCTACAACAGGAATTTTGATTGCATTTCTTTTCTGGAAACAAAAGTAATATATTAGATTCATATTTATAAAATTATTTAAAAAATGTCCTCAATTATTTGATAATAAACATTGACCTAGAATATATTCATCTCTTGTTCAAGGAATATTGTGTTTTAGACTTTATATAGTATTTGGGGTAAAAAAAATTGCATCAATAGAGAGAAGTAACAGGAAAGCTTTTTTATTCTTTAACTCCATCGTCTTCTGAGAACAAATTTCCATTTTGGCATCTTTTCAAGGTATAAAGAAGCTATTGCCAGAAACTGAGCAAGCTGAAGAAATGTTTAAATATCCTTCATCAACTTTATTCACTTACAGAAGCCGCAAATCTTCTCTCGAATACGGCTGAATACATATTAAGTTAGAAAAGTTTTCTTCAACAGTCGATAGAATTATATACGAAATGTTAAGTATTGTAAAAAGTTGCAAATTGCCAGAGGGTGAAAAAAGGCATTACAACAGAGAATCCTTGGTGATTGTGCCAAAATAGAAAATTGTTGGCGTATACAGAATATAGAGTGGAAAACTTTAACTACCAACAATTATCAAGGGGAAAAATGTATACCATTGAGAATATAAAACATGTATATAAGGGATATAGAATATGTTGAAACAATAGTGGCAATATGAGGCAAATTTGCCGCAATACTTACCTCCTTCACGGCATTTTGTGCAGAATCGCGCGTCGTGAATGTCACGAACGCATAACCACGATTTGTGCCGGTCATCGGGTCCATCATGAGCCGCAGATCCCAGATTGGGCCGCACTTCTCAAAGAGCGGTATCAATTCGTCCTCATACATATCCTTGGGGATCTTCCCGCAAAATACTTCGCATCCATTGCCGGGCGTCGGACCGTCCCAATTGGGCGGAGGTCCGCCGTACTTTCTCTGTCCTGCAATGGCAAAAGGGGCGCAAAGCAATGGGGGCGTCAGCTCAATTTTGCATACAGAGAGAAGAGCAAACATCTCACCTGTCGTTACATCTAATGTGTAACCTGTGCGTTCAAGAATCTGTTTGATTTTCTCTTCATCGGGTCCTTTTGCTTGCACTGTTGTTGTCGGCGCAGGTACACCTTGTTGGCTTGCTCTGCTCTTTTGTCTGCAATCACTCAAACAATTTCAAGTCACATCAAGTGCTGGCGATAGGAAGACATGCTATCTCACCTGTATGTTTTCATCACACCGCACAAGTAGGCCGATTTGTTGGACACATGTTCCAGATTTGATTCTAGGAACTGACTCAGAACATTCAAGGCACCATCAACCGGAAACTCCTTTAGCGCATCAAGAGCCCTCTCGTCCAGCTCCACATGCGCCAATTTGCCAGTTTTGTAAATATCATCTAACTTGCTGGCAACCTGAAGCAGGAAAAGCACTCGTTTATTGACAATTTCCATCATTTTTCCCACGCACACACTCGCAATCAACTCACCCTCTTGTCAAGTCCATACTCCAAGAGCTTCGAGTAATCCTCTGTTCGCTCTCCATCTCCTCGATCTTCTGACTTTGTTCCTGGTATATCATCGACGACTTCGCCGTTTCCCTCTGCCATTTCTGTAATTGCCAACAAACAACATGCTAATAAGAAGACTATAATCAAAAATGAGTTGATTGTGCTTCTCTCTTTGGTCTGGGAGATAGAGAAAAGTGTGACAATATGAGACAGAGACGAGAAAATCTTATTATTCAACCTCATATTGCAACGAGATAGTTGACAAAGTCCATTGAATTCATAACAAATTGTTGTTTTGCACACATCATCATCTACTACATCGTCTTCCATCTCATCTCCGCTCAAAGGACTGGAGAAACTTGTAAATGAACATTTTATTCAACACATCCAATAGACGAACGATACCGAGACAAACAATTGTATACAAATACTGAAACCTCAGTAAAAATAAACAAATAAATAAGCAAACTTGTATTATTTTCATTCAAGATATCAATGTTGGAGTAAAAATTACGAAATCAGAATTTAATCATATTTCACTTGTGCAAAGTTCGTATTGAATGGGAGGAATTAGTGTAAAACCGAGTGCTTTCCCACCAAACTCTCCAATTCAGCCACAAGAGAATGCAGAAATGCTCTTATCATGCGCAACAAAGGGCCCATTTGCGATATCAGCAGAAAGACACTTGGACGGTATTCCCATTTCGCCACGAGGAGTTTTGTTTTGTATTTGATGTATATCTTCGAGCCTATGTAGGAGAATCAACCCGCGGAGTGTGTTAGCCAGTCTATAGTGGAACATAGATGAGAGTATGGCGAAAAAAGAGGCGGAATATAGCATTTGAACTGTAAATAAGCGAAAGTAGGCATCCACAAGTGTTGACATAGGTTATGGTTCTCTTACACGTGCGATTTCTCTAATACGCACACCGACACCATCGCATCATTTTTCGCGCGCGTTTTCCATACGCACATTTCGCGTTCTACACTCTCGCATTTCGCGACGCACTGTCGCAAAAAATCGTACGCGAGGTCGTCATTATATAAATTCTTGCTCTTCCTCTGTTTTTTTCTTCTTCTTCTTTTTCTCCAACTGAAGCCTCACGCAAAATTTTTGCCAATATTCGCACAATAGCCCCATATATACAATCACAGTTGGTTGCTAGATTATATTCTTTCGCACAGTTTCACGCAGCGACACAGCCTTGGATGGGCCAAAACAGTGAAAGCCACTTCACCACAAATAGACATTTTTCCCTCTCTGGTCGCGACCAAATGTGCGTATACGCAAGTCTGAAGCGCAAAAGGGGCATTGCGAAGAATGTAGACGGGAGAGAGAGAGTGAAAGACCACATAAAGAAGCCGTTCTCCACAGACGCATTTATGCTTATTGCTAATCTCACGCAATTTCCATTCAGTCTTTGCGCGCCAAAACGTTCGCGCGATGATGCGTTTCACGGACCGCATTGAAACCGTTCCTCATTGACGCCTCGCCGTAGATAAAAAAATATATCTCCCAAATAGTCTATCAAGGTGAAATGTTGCCAGACAAAGCGTATACAGAAGTGCGTATGACAAACCTCAAACACAAACTTCGCGCACATCCACCCGAATTCACGCACTTTTTCGTTGCCTAAGGCTGGAGAGGCCACATGAAAGACGCGTATTGTAGCATGTGAACGGGCTTGTGCGAGTGTGAAACATAAAAATTTTTGCGATTTCGCGAGTTTGCGAAAAGTAGGTCACGGCAAATGTGTGCGTACAAATTCAACTTGGTAAAACACTATTAAATACGACTTTTTCTGCCATCATCTCTCTCTCTCGTCCGCTCTCTTCCTCCTCCACCCCATACACTTGGCCATGAGTTTGATCCAAAAAGCAACACCACAAATTGCTTCCATCAGCGCGATATTAGTGCCAATCGCTGTGTTATATTTAATATCAGGAAGGAGAAAACTCTGGAAAGACAGTTCAGGAAGAGAGAATATATTCAAATTGGGAGCAGCTGCTTCTGCATAGTTGCAGTATTAATACATCCGGCTGTTGTAATTCAAGCAAACTCAGCGCTGAGATACAGCGTAACATCGTGATCTTGACATTTGGCGAAAAAACAATCCGACAAAAAATGCAAACACACAATTCTTCTATCACCCCACAAGATCACCCTTATCTCCCTCACGCACAATGCCGAAAGGTATGGGAAAAGAAAGCTTGACTTCCTTTGTGTGCGTTTCGATTTTTTCCGAGGCAACTATTCCCTCAATGTACGCGATATTTGATCTAATTATAGCCTCTCTCTAGAACATATTGTTCCGCGCGTAATCTGGATATCTCTCGCACATTTCAAAGCGTACACGCACACCCAACATAACCACACAACTTCGATTATCACCCAGAAAAGTGGTAGAGTATTTGCGCGAGGTCAATGAACTCACTTGCGAATTGACCTTCTTTTTATTGTATAATTTTGCTTTTGGCACTCAATTAATTAGGCCTCTTACTCTCTCTATCTCTGATGCCTTGTCTCTTTATCACACACCATATCTATCTATACTCGCAAATATACATACACCTTACGCAATTCTGCTTCGTGCAAATCAATTTCTTTTTTTTATTTTAATCCCACCCTATTGAGTCAAACAACGCAATTGTCCCCATCATTTTTTTCTTCTTCACTGTCACTTTAGGAGTGACAAAAATCAATTGATGTACACAAAAATAGAATCCTGAAAGATCACAAGTTCACGAGTAGAGCTTTTATTATTCTCTCATGTTCGCCACGATTGCCAGACATAGAATATAGTATGTATGTATAGCACACCTTTAGTCCATCAATGTCAAATAAAATCCCAATTCCATCGTTCTCTTTTGGAGCTTTCTTTGCAATTGAACACACAAAATAAAATAAAGCAGTGCAGACAGAAAAGAGTCATTGAATTTGTTCAGAGTGACTGATAGATTTCATCACACAGTGCAAAATCTAAGCTTGAAAAGAGACACTTTTTATGGCAATCTGAGAAAGAAAAAAAAGTGTTATATTTGGGATGAAATCATAAACTTATCATCAATTTGAAAACAAAACACAGTTTCAATAAGTAATACTAAAGCAGTGTAATTCAATTTGACACACAAAGAAGAGTCTGAAAACTCTCTCTCTCTCTTTGATTTCTATACAGAATTCTTGCAAGTAATTATAAACCAAAACCTGAATGAAATTCAAGTAAATCCTTTGAGCCTCAAATTCTCACCATTCACTAGTGGTAATTCAAATTCAATTCTCCCCGTCAACCCATAAACGCACTCCCGGTGAATTTCCCCCGATTTTCATCCACAATCACAAATTAAACGTACTGAGGATTTATTTGCGAGGGAAGTGTGAGAGATAACCTGAGGGATGAGGTTGTCTGGTATCGTCTATTGAACTTTGCTCTATCACCCTCTTTTTGCACCACGGCACATAGCATAAAATATGCGATAGAGCGGTACATTGTGTGACTTTCTCACTCTCGCATTTCACCCCCAAAGCTCTCTCTCTCCGTCTGTCCATATGCTTCTCTCTCTCTCTCTCTCTCCCGAACACCCATACATTTTCACATCGGGAAAATTTTCACCCCTTTCTCTCACGATGAGTGTCTGTCAGTCATATACATATAAGGTGAAAAGCACACCCAGACAGAACTATGTAATGGGAAAGCACACAAACACTCCAATGCCGGGAAAACACCACTGCCATTGGGCTGAGGTGGCAGACAGTGAGGGGAAAGATCCTTTGTGTTCGGAAAGTCAGGGTGAAATGAAAATTGGAGTGCGGAAGGGCGGGTTTTTGGCGTATATTTTTCCTATGCAGAGCAGAAGGAGCGAGACAGCGCAGTGCCGGCAATAACAAATTTTCTCTTGAACACTCTTGCCACGAACGTGATTTTCAATAATGAGACATCCACACTCTAGCAACTGCACAAGACATTGATAGAGACTTCTTCCGGAAAAACGTGATTGGAAAATTCAATTTTCCTACCCAATTTGTCTCCCTCGATGGCGCGGCTCTCATAGTTGAGGAAATTACCCATTTAGTCGGCTAAGAGGACTTTCGAGGCGTTCATTGAAAATTCATGCTATACGTTGTGTAATGTACAACCATCGACATACGCTGACAATTTGAGAGAGATGCGAGGCAAAAATTCTGGAATTTTCCAGAAAGCTCACTATATATGGCAGAAAGACATTTTGGGTGGAAAGAATGAGAAAAAAGGCCACCAGAGCGACGACCAAGAAGAATACCCAGAAAGAGAGAGAGAAAGAAGAAAGAAAAAAGCTCAGAGATTTTTCGACACGTCGACAAGGCATTTCTGAAAGAGAAATTCTTGTAGTTTTTCAATGTGGTATTTGGCTGGTAATTTGCAATTGCCGGCATGTTTTTCTTCCTTTTTTGCCCTTCCTTCTTCTCTCCACATATCCCGCGTATAACTCCATGTGCCGTGCAAAATGTTGAGCATAAATACAGAGCAACGGACGCTCTCACACAAGCTGCATGGAAACAGAGGAAGATTGGGTTAGGAAACACGCCAAGAACAGAAGCGCTCTTTTTATTCTACATGCCTTCTCCTCTTGTCCACTGAAAATTCTTCCCCTTTCAATGCATCAAATATATATAACACTTATATGCATGCATACACTCTCCGTCCTCTATTGATTTCTTATAAATCATACATGTATATAGTGGCGTAGCAGTGAAAATTAAAGCATTTCCATTTTCCTCTGCACTCTCTCATAATCTCCACATTCAAAACCTTGTGCTGATGAATTTTTCATGGTACCACAATTGAAAACTTTAGCAAATAAAAGTGAAGAAGATTTTTGCAAAGACGCAACTCCAGCGTGAATTCATTTCATGAAACGCCTCAAAGACGGGTTTGCCAGCAAAAATGGTGGGCAAACGAAAAACGCGCTTGCACTTCACTCGAATGCATTGCATTCACCGCTCATTGCAACGCGACACATGTAAAACAAAATGGTGGATCTGAGAATTGTACTTCGCCAGAGTGAATAGCACTTTCCACAGTCTTTCACGTTTGGATTTCATGGAAATTTTGCATAGGAATGC